AGTGAGGAGTTCTGTATCCCACGTTTAATGGTATTTCAGTCACTCATGGTGACGGATCCCATACTCAGAGTCGAACCTGATCTTACACATGACGTATTACCAACTTGACTACCCAATTACTCCATAAAATCTATGTTACAGGTCAGCTACGTTTTTGGTTTTTTTTGTTTGTTTGTGTAACCATCTATATGACTGTAAATAAAAGAGTCTGGAGCAGACAATCCAGTAATTGACGTTATAAGCATTGATCCACGCAATTAAGATACGATGACATGCATCAACAAGTCAGCGAGCCTGACCATCCGATCCCAGCTACCCGATCCCGTTAGTCACCTCTTACGACAAGCATAGTCGCTTTTTTTACGGCAAGCATGGGTTGCTGTAGACCTATTCTAACCCGGATCTTCAGGGATCGGTCAGCTATGTTTTCAGCATGCAACTCGACACATTGTAAAATGCTGTGGTATCAACCGTGCATGGGATGACTAGTGTTGCAACAGGAGATTGAATTGATGTCCCATTAAGACGAACCGGAGCGACAGGCTGGCAGTGTGGAAAGGGTGTGACGAGTACAGTGCACGAACATGACTTGCAAGTATGCATGTGTCATTTCTTTTTTTAAAAATCTGACTATCAACAAGAAGCATGTCCATTTTTTTGGATATTTTTTTCAGGTTTATATCCATAGAGAAAAGTAAATTCGCATTCCACTCACTGCGTCATAAGGCCAATGAAAGGAAACATGTATGTTAGTTCATGATTGTCAATTATACGTCATGATGACTGTTTATATTAAGGTTTATGGTCCTGTTACCGAACTGATAAAACCAATCCTTTTGGACATGTGATCACAAGAAACATACATCCATGCACTGTTAAATAGATGAAGTGAGGTGAGGTGAAATTGGGTTTATGTCGCGTCCAAGATTATTGCACTTATATAGCGACGTGCATACACGCGCGCGCGCGCGTGCGTGCGTGCGTGTTTGTGTGGCGGCTTGTACTAGTCCGGACTGATGCCGATTTATATTGCTAGCTCACTGAGATACCTTCTTTTAAGCCCCTTAATGCCGAGCAGGGTACGTTCCGCTCTCCGGACTGACGCTCTACCACTAGACCACGGAGGCGGTCTAACTGTTAAATAAAGCTTTGGGTACCGCCACAATTACCTTAACCTGTAGCTTATGTGTAACTTATGTGTGTGTGATAATTCCATTACAAAAGAGTTGGACACCACCTCACTGATACAATGACGACGTCAACCTGTTCGTATGATTTGGGGAAAACGATCATTTCAAGTTAAGTGTAACTTCACCATTATTAAACACATCTTCCCGAGGCAAGTGAGAGGGATGACTTCAACTTTCGAATGGTAAACTTTCCCTTCATGTCGAGCAATATTCCAGCATCTCCAGCCTTTGGTGTTTACATTTCACAACTTGGGAGATACAATCTTTCTACCAAGATTTCAAAGAGCGTCATACGACCCTTATTCAGAAGTTGTTTGATCAAGGTTACAACATTTCAAGGCCTCAGTAAAGCTTTCAAAATGTTTTATGGTAGGTTGCATGGTTGTTGGTTGGTTTCTTGTTTAACGCCGCACTCAGCCATATTCCAGCTATATGACGGCGGTCTGTAAATAGTCGAGTCTGGACCAGACAATCCAGTGATTGATATCATGAGCATCGATCCACGCAATTGGGATCGATGACATGCATCAACCAAGTCAGCGAGCCTGACCACCCGATCCCGTTAGTCGCCTTTTTACGACAAGCATAGTCGCCCTTTACGGCAAGCATGGGTTGCTGAAGACCTATTCGGGTAGACATGTGGAGGACATTTCCAAATTGACGCATCAGTGACAAAAATGATTCCCGATGCAGTTCCCTATTTTGACTTGTTTCATGTGTTCCCGTATTTTTTCAGGTGAACAATTGACTTGCTATTGCATGTGTTTGTGACGGGTGCCACCGGTGGAGCAGGATAGGCTCACCTTCTTGCGAACACCTGGTACCATTACTATTTGATAGTGATTCATAAACACACGCTGATGATATAGCCGGAATCGTACCATTGACTCTGCGTTATGCAGAGATTTCTATTGGATATGGAAAGGGTTGTATCGCTTTATTTAATAGAAATGATTAAACTTTGAGTGTCTTGAGTCAACCAAGATTACCACATTTCTGGCAACCAGGGTTGTCTTGATTCAACCTGAATAAACCAGTGTGCGCAACAACAACGTACACAAAATACCCGTGCAGAAGCAGTCCTTCAAGCCTACTGGCCAAGTTCACTGCCAATATAACCGCTCGCAGTCACCAGACTGCCGATTCCTACCCGAATTTGAAAGCGCATATTGCCTTTTTTGGTTATCACTGTAATATTCCTTATCGATGGAATGGCTCGCTTTCACTCTATAAGCATCAGCACACATGCAGCTATCTTCATTAATTAATCAAAGTGATATTTCGTGATTCTATTTCCAGTGGCAAGGATTGTAGAGAAACACGATATATACATCTATTAGTTCTTTTCGTACATGGTGATGTATATGGAATTACTGTCCACCCTTTCATGCACATTTGGATCCGATTATTTGTACATTCTACAGTGACGTTTGATTGTTCACGTGATCTACACGGGTGCATTTTGTCAAAAATATGCACGTATTATGTATTGCATATTTCTTCAGCACGGCATCAATCACTTTCAAGGGTGGCATCTCGTGATAAAAATGTCTGTCAGTCATTCCAGGGTGTCGCTTGACTGTCACTCGTGTCACTGCCACTGTCTTGCTACAACATTCGGGTCAAAGGTCATCTGGTCTGACGTTGAAGAAAATGACAGTTGACGTGTATGGATATATTTCCATGGCCCTTGACATGGGAGAAGACATGCAGTCATATATACACCTCTGTGATCTGAAAGCAGTTAGTGTAGTATTAATACAAACAAATATTAACCCATATACCCGGGGACTCGTCAGGTGTGATGAAATGAGGGATAACGTCGCGTTCATTTCACTCATTTAGCGACGTGTGTGTGTGTGCGTGTGTGCGTGCGTGCGTGTGTGCGTGCGTGAGAAAGTGAAACATCTAATCTCTCCGAAGTAGAAGGCAAAGGTGATGGCTTCGGTTTTCTGAGGTTCTAAAGGAATCTTACTGGTCTACCTCCCGAGGTCAGACCATCAATGGCCAATATCATACGAACTGTCTTAGGCAACTGTGTGTGAACATCACGGCTAAACGAAGAATGCTTTGTTCAACCAGGTGCACGCGTGCAAAAGCCTGTTGTCTGCAATACATGACTATGGCTTTAAACGCAGTGAACATCCTCTGTATTCACCAGATTTGGAACCGTCATATTTCCACCTCTTACCAAACTGGAAAAAAGAATTTTCCGGCAAGCATTGTGGAAATGATGATGATGTTATTTCTGCCGTGAAAGACGTTTTACACAACCAAGAGGAACCATTCGACACCAGTTGGATCCAGGCACTCCAGCGTCGTTGGACGTCCAGCGCTGATAAAATAAATATCAACCAAGTCCATCAACTCAGTTCATTGTAGTTGGGCTCAGAATTGTTCAGCCAGCCCTCGTATATCATTATTATTATGTTTCTATCTAATGCATTTTGTATGTTCATGGTTGTCTTAACCAACGACCAACGCCATCGGGGTACGAAGTCACGCAATCCACCAAGTCTCCGTGCCTGACCACCCGATCCATATGGTACTCTTGCGAACAGCATGTTGCCGGGGACGTAATCTAACCCAGATTCGATGTGTTGTGGGTCCGAATACAAGATTGATTTCTCGAAACCTAGAAGTCTACGTAATACCAAGTCTCTTGTTATCCTGGCCATAAGCTGTGCGCTTGCTCGTCAGTTATTGACATTGGATCATATCTGACCAGTCCGCAGCACCAAGACCACCATGTTATCCGCGCCCCATGGTCGATACGATAATGGATTAAGATATTGAAGGGATTTTTTTTAATCTGAGGTGAGGGTCAGTTATTCCAAGGTGTCTTTTAAGTTTAACTTTGTACTGGAGAAAATGAGTGAAGGAATACTGTTTACATCAGTCATAACTACTACATCACATCAGACTGTTGGCAATAAGGAATGTTTGTCTTTTCATTCCACTGTCAGAAATATTCCAGCTACATCACCCAGTCATGTAACCATTTAAGTCTGGGCCAGACACACCAGTGGCTGGTCACTGATCCTGACCACACCCGATCCAAAATTTAATTGCCTCTTAAATTCAATAGAGTGCTGGAGACCTATCTTATCCTGGGTTCCCTTAGGGAGCATGGGGAGTGAAGACTTTAACCACGAACCTACATAAGGCCAAAGAGTAGTTTTTCTGGCCTTTCGGCTTGGCCTAAAATGATGCGATGACATCCCATTTTTGGAAAAGCTCATTTGCATGACATAGTTCTAAATGAAACAATACTGGGAATGTTTGAAAGGTTCCCGACCGCGATTCACCAACACTGACCCAGGAGGTACAATCTTAGGTTTTCTGAATTAAATACGTAGTTGTCTCCAGTATTACAAAACATTCTTCACTGTGATACAGCACTTCATAAAAGTTCAGTTGAGGGGTGCATAAACTGCACTCAAAAACCTCAGGATGCGGATGGGAACCAGGATCCAGGAACATACTTGTTGCTTAATCTCCCCAAAACAGGAAAACAAACACACCAGCAAGACAAAGAGCTTCAATACAATAAACTACATTGTACATTACTATCAACAACAGGACACGGCTGCGCTTGTATCAGAGCCTGTAATAAGATTAATGATACAGCTGGGATGACAAAAGATCTTAGGGGTTTGGAGCTGTGGATACGGCTCCGTAACCAGCAGTGTTGTTGACAGGATTCTTGGATCCATCAGTATATATATTGGCCCAGCTGTGCCAGGTTGTTTGGATACTAGTGACAGTTACTGTTCGTAATATGGTTGGATAATGATGAAAAGACAGTCGTGTTGTGCGATTCTTTATTTAATATTTACATTCAGTTAACCTGCTGCCAGTTTCTACGGAAGCCTTTTAGGGCCATTTGTTTTTGTTTTAAAAATTGATACTATCTTGAAATTTCAAGATACAGAAGTTGATAAATTAAAGATATTAAGTTGAAATTTCAAGATACTAAGTAGAAATTTCAAGATACTAAGTTCAAGATAATATCTTGAAATTTCAACTTCTGTATCTTGAAATTTCAAGATAGTATCGAAAAAAACAAATGGCCCTAAAGGGCTTCCGTAAGTTTCTCCATCTTGCGTGACAATATTTCCATAATTTATATAATCAAGAGTGTAAGTGAGTGAGTGAGTTGGGTTCTATGCCACTTTCAAATGTATTTCAGTTACATCATGGCTTATTGGGACAGGAAGGTCCACCAAGATATTTACCCATTCGGGAAAATCACATGAACATGGACATGGCACAAACAAACCAAGGACCATAATTACATTTCAACCATCAACCAAGGATCCTGGCCAAGTAAGGGACACAACTCTGCCCCTGCTGGGTCATCTACCCATCTTGATAGTTAGCATAAACAAAACACTGTATTCACATATGTAGTTCATGTCATTGAAAGGATACAGTAGATAAACACAAAATAAACTTACAAGGTAAAACATTCAAATTCACAATAATGTCTTCAGTATACAGAATATATGCAGCAAACATGGCCTTATAGAGGAACCTTGCTTCAGATCTAGTCACTCTAATATCAGATGAGGACAGGTGGAACACTCTTAAATACCGTTTCTCACCACCAAATAAGGCATACTGAAACACCCTTTGACCAGAATTCCAGTTATATCGCGGCATGTCAGCTTGATGTGTGAGGAAGGGCTGAAGTTCTGCAGGTCTCAAGTGTTTACCAGTCCAGTGCCACCCCCTAGCACTGGCATGGTGCTGACAAATCTAGAAACATGATCAGAGCAAACCGGGATTTGAACCCACAATCACAGGTTTTGGGTGTGCTCAAGGGATGCAACTCTGCACAGCAAATGGTGGCTACTGGGCCACCTGTGCCCCCATTGTTACCTGAGCCTGGTTTAATGTTACAATGGTTCTGTCCATAAAAACATCACTGCATCAATAAATCAATCACCAGATGATTACTACATAATATATATCCACACATCATGAGCACTTCACAGGATTCATATACACCACATTTATCAATCAACCGATAACACTTTAGACCCGTAATTGCATGGCAACTTGGAGTCAGCTAGGGAAGGCTATGTATAACTCATGGAAATCAAAAGTGCCCTACTTTGTGCATGAACTTTGTGAGAACCCCCTTCATTGCCTGATATTGAAGTAATGTATAGAGAGTAGATGTCCGCGAATCTTTCCAAGGCAAGAGCGTCCACTAGCCTTTTTATCAAAGTCCTGTTTCCACCCTTGCCACATCAAGCCCATGTTTCTGTGCTAATGATTGGATTATCGCACATATTTATAGTCAAATCAGAGAATGTTTCACAAAATCCCCATCCACGACTGGTACACCTTCTTATGAAAGTGATTTACCACTGCCTGTTTTTGTTGACATGAATATGTCTTTTCATCTTTTAAACCCACCAGCGATTGCCTATGTTTTTGAGTCAGGGATGAAATCGCAAATGTTTTCGTTATTTGATTACACGGGAAGATGACAGTTCGGAAGGCTGTAGCACATGCTGCATGAGAAATATTGTTGTTTGTGTAATGTAATCTACGCACTTGCTGGTTCCCTCTCACTGGCACAAGGCTGTTTCCTGATTCATTGGTTAAATATTACTAATGCCTATGTATTTCCGGGTGATGTAGGAACATAGAGTCCACAAACATGTTAAGTACTGACAATGATATTTAAAAAAGAAACTTGCAAATTGTGTTTTCAAAGTGTGTCAGTACATGCAATAAATTCTTTTTCCATTTTGACATGATGAAATATTGATGTAGTGTTGATGGCAGGTAGCAAATATGTTGGTTGGTATGTTGTTTAACGCCGCACTCAGCAATATTCCAGCTATATGACAGCGGTCTGTAAATAATCGAGTCTGGACCAGTCAATCCCTGTGTTTGACATCATGGGCATGCATCAACCAAGTCAGCGAGCCTGACCACCCGATCCCGTTAGTCGCCTCTCATGACAAGCATAGTCGCCTTTTATGGCAAGCATGGGTTGCTGAAGACCTATTCTACCCTGGATCTTCACGGTTCAGCTGATATGTACTCATTCTCTTCTGTCTACTGTTGGTATGTGTATCTCATTGTTGCCATTCTAGATCAATAACAAGGATATCCAATGGTTGACTTGGTGATGTTAAAACTTACTGAGATATATAGAACACAAGTCAAAACTTTTAAAATACCAAGGAAAGAAGGCCAAAGGGAGATAACTTTTCAAGTAACTACATCCCTACCCTAAGTTCTCTCACTTCCCAGGTCTAGTGGACTTAGGGGGATAAAACAAGGACTGGCCAGCTAAGGGCCTGTATACTGTGTCTGGGAGGGGTATACATGTTAAACTGCGGCATGGGATCTCAATGATAGAGGTATCAACCCTGACTAGTACAAGCAGTCACACATACACCCACACATGCATGCAAGTCGCTGTAAAAATTTCACCCAAAACTCCTGTACCTGCTTCAATGATTATATTATACACCACTCAACATTTCATGAGGGTACCTAGTTCATCCTGTCACAACACAAGAAAAGAAATGTGAAATGCGGCCTGTTAATAATCAAGTCTGGACCCGACAAAACAGTGATCAATATGAGCACTGATGCCATCGGGGTATCATGATACCCAATCAACCAGGTCACCGAGTCAGAGAGCATGTTAACCATTTAGTCGCCCCAAACGACAAGCATATATTGCTGGGGACCTGTTCTGACCTGGATTCCCCATGGGGAGGAAAAGAAAAAGAGGACAATTAGAGTTTTATTCGTTTGTTGTTTAATACCCCACTCATATTCCAGCTATATGATGGCGGACTGTAAATAATTGAGTCTGCTCTAGTGATTGATATCAAGAGCAACACTCAATGTCTTCAGGATATGATGACACTCAATATACAAAGTCATCAAGTCTCACTACCCGATCCAATAAGTCGTCCCTTACGACCAGCATAGGTTCCTGGTGACAGCAAGAACCAAATAGACACCTGAGTTCTTTTAAAAAATACATCAACAGAAATAATACACTAACAATACCATGGGTAATAGCCAGTACCAGGAAACTTGCACAACTCTTGTAATGCTAAAATGTCTTCTCTGGTGTTCGATTGCCAAACTATGAACCCTTGGCAGACAGTATAAATGTGGGATGTCACCATCATCTCCTAATCTCATTCCTGTTGTCGTTTCTGTTGTAACACAGGCCACTCTCACTGATTCACAACCTGTGACTAGGCATCTGCCTTCAGTTGTCTGTCACTGAGGCCGACCTTCTCGCCTGGCTTGAAGGCTGGCATGCCGAGATACGGACAACTGGCACACCGGAATGCATCACCAAGGTAACACTGAAACATAACATTGGAAACAGGTAAACAACTTTATATAATAACAATATAGACAAAAACCAAAACAGTAAAAGCCTTTGAATAAACAATATAACTGGAGCTAATTTTTATGTCACTATTTATTTCTCAACTCCATGATGCCTAATGAGTCAGCGTGTATACCTTTCAGCGCTGAACTGTTCCAAAACGTATGCAGGGTTACAAAGTTGTTATTTCTTCACAGTGTCACCAAATTGCACAACATTTAACTTGCTAACAATGGGGTTAGGTCTTTCCATCAGTGCGTCTATTTGTTATATCAGAAAGGGATATACACTGGCTAGCCATCAGTCAAAGTGCTGTTTTCTATCCAGCTGGTAATATGGAAACCCCCCAAAGTATGTTCCAGGTAACGTCAATAAAGTGCCCTTGTTTGAAATCTTGATGTCATTGGAAAGAAATGCCTAAAGTGAGTGAGTGAGTGAGTGAGTGAGTGAGTGAGTGAGTGAGTGAGTGAGTGAGTGAGTGAGTGAGTGAGTGAGTGTGAGTGAGTGAGTGAGTGAGTGAGTGAGTGAGTGAGTTGGGTTTAAAGCCGCTTTTAACAGTATTCCAGTTATATCAGCTTAATGTTTGAGGAAAGCCCAAAGTGATGCAGGTCTCAGACGTTTACCACTTCGGTGAAAACCACAAGCACCCACGAGCACGGGTATGGTGCTGACAAACCTAGAAACATAATCGGGGCGAACCGGGATTCGAACCCACAATCATAGGTTTCTGGCGTGCCTAAGGGACGCAACTCTGCACAGCGAATCGTGGCACCTTAGACGACTTGGCCACCCGTGCCCCCGCATGGCAATAGAGCATCTTAAGGTCTATCTTAAAGTCCACATATAAAACATATTTTAGACATGAATGATTTTTTAGTCTATTCAAGCAGTCTACAACATTAGCCACTTGTCTAATATTTCTCTAAATCCAATAGGTCCACATGTACCCAGAATACTCGGGGTGGATCAACTAAAAACTGATTCCCAAAAATTCAAGGCCTTGTAAGGTTTAGTTAGGCCATTACAAGGCTCCCAACCAAAAATTCAAGGCCATTCAAATTATATTTTCATCTCGGCAGTATCAAAATCAAGTCCTTTTCAATGTAAACTGGAACACTTCTGTCACATGCCGTAGATTTTCGCAATATTTTGCAGACTTTTTTGGCTAGGGGTCAGCAGTCGGATTAATTTCGAGACACATTAATTTCAAGATTTACAGTATATTGCTGATTTGATAGACAGCAGTGAATGATGGATAACCTTTCGTTCTTGTTCTGACAATGGCTCAAAGGGAAACAACTCTGTATGGCTATTTCATTAGGCAACAGACTTAAAAGATTTGGCACAGACTGTTATTGCAACCATCAATAAGTCTAACTGAAACTAATAATGTCAAATAATTTCAAACCACTAATTTTCGGGAATCTTAAACTTGGGGCAAGTATTAGACTCACATTTCCACAGGCAGATGTGACGGGTTTGGGCGTGATCTCAGCCCCTTCTTCAAGCTCCTCTGCCAGCCCACACGTACAGTTCTTGCAAGCTTTCTTCTTCTTGGGGTTTGCACCACAATCAGCTGAATAAACAATCATTATATAAGTAAAATGTAGAGTCCTAGCAAGTTTGAATCAAGTCATTTTAACAACACATTCCACCAACACAACGTCTAACTCAGTTTGATCACATAATAAATGCATACCCTAATAACAAAAAGACAATCCTCAAGAGAGAGAGAGAGAGAGAGAGGAGAGAGAGAGAGAGAGAGAGAGAGAGAGAGAGAGAGAGAGAGAGAGAGAGAGAGAGAGAGAGAATGTGTGTGTGTGAGAGAGAGAGAGAGAGGGAGAGAGAGAGAGAGAGAGAGAGAGTGTGTGTGTGTGAGAGAGAGAGAGAGGAGAGGGAAGGAGGGAGCTAAAACATTAAACTGGCAAATTACAAGACTATTTATTGATCCGTCGTCTGTAGTAGGGCCCAAGTCTCACTGCCTTGGCGGAACTCACCTCGAAGAGAGGCTGGGTCAGGCTTTTTCAGGTCATCTTGTTCCAGGAGAGCATCGTCATCAACAAGCTCCACCTCATCATCCATCACATCATCCGCCGACAGCGACCACACCTTGGCTACACTGGCATCCACTGCTGTCAAAACAAACATCAACATTGTTTGAATTCCTAAAAACTGGTACATGACAGAAAAAATAATAATAATGGCATTGATTTGTCAAACAGTCTAATATTTTTATATTTTGCGAGAAAGCATCATTCTCAGGTGTCCAAATATCAATTCTCATGTTGAAGATGAAACAAATGCTCTAAAATACTTGGTGTAGGCTACTTTTTCTCAACTAGTCGTACTAGAGAACATAGAATATCTTGTCTCCTTTACTGGAGACTATGCTGCATGTCACATCACTGAAATTTTTTCACAAATATCAATTGTTATTTAGAGCTGCACTAACGCAAAATTAAAAACAAAAAGAGTACAGGAACTTAATTATTCATGATATTAGTACCCTTATCCGGACAAAACACATTGGAAATTAGCCTGTATCACCTGTGACATCCTTACTCTAACATGTAAGACTACGCTCCATGTCTGAGATGCCCGGAGGATCAGAACTAAAGGATCTAGCAGATAACAACCCAAGCCCAACAGTCCCTCAGAAATTTTTGAGCCGCATGTGACACAAGGGAAATAGCTGGCAATGCACTGAGTTCAGTGATGATTTGTCTACGACCCACAGCATGATCCAACATCGTTCAAGAGATGAACAGAAACGTAGAAATGCCTTAAGATATTGTCAGATAATATTTATGCATGAATGGTATGTTGGATATGTACAGCGCCAAAGTCAATGATGCGAACGTGGGACAGTTAACTGCTGTGCTGGGACAAGTGTCCCAAACTGAAGAACCCCCCTATGTCTTTGACAGAGAAGTCCCTCAGATAGTAGTTGGTGAATGTAGTGTCAGTGCCCCAAAACACCCCCTTGATGACATCCGTCACCATACAGTTGGTATGCAACGCCATCATGGATGCTAGGGCTCTGATTTCATGGAGATGGTGTGCCTCAGCTAGTGATATGTCAGCAGAAGTGTGGCACAAAGCCAAAACGCCTTGGTATTCTTTGTCACCTTCTCCCTACTTCTGGCCGACAGAGGTAGGACTAATCACTTCTTCTGCTTCATGGAACTCTGTCACTTCAACGTAACGCTTGAGTGCTTGCACAGGACATAACGACAGATCCTCAGTGTCCTCCGTCCCCAGGATGGATGATAAGGGCAATATCGTGAACCACCGATTATCCTCCCACAACTGCTGGTATTTAACATGTCTGCTGGTGTTGAACAGCTCCCCGATGAACTGGAGAGACTGCGATGGAAACATGTCCAACTTTTCCAGTTGGGATCAACCATCCCCACTGGGACAACAGGCGCCTCGAAATAGTGATGTGTGGCGCTAGCGTCTGTAGATCCTGATCGTTGAGGATACAATCGTCTATGTATGGATGGAAGCTGACATCCCTGCTGTGCAAAAGGGCTACTACTGGATTGGTATTTTGTGTAAATAACCATGGGGCCAAGGAAATTCCAAACGGCAGGACTTGCCATTGGAAGTCCTTTCTCCGGAACAGGAATCGGAGTGCTCTGGATGAATGGGTACATGCAGGTAAGTGTCCTGCAGATCCAAAGACACCATAAAGTCCCCAAGACATATTGTTAACCTCAAGTCATTGAGGGATAACATCCGAAAATACAGTGGAGTCTCCAGATACAACAGGTTGAACGATTTCAGGTTGTGAATCAAGCGCATCCTGTTAGGAGTCTTTCATGGGGACCGGGAACATCCTGGAATAATAACCTGGTGTGAGCTGATTCCAAAGTGCACGTCTATCACCGTGAGCGATAAGAAGTGAAGGGATCAGGGACAGACAACTCCTGTTGGTAACCAAGGGCTGGGGGTGCCCCAGAGGAGGTAAAGGCATGTTTGGGTTCTGTGTTATAGGATCGAAGTCCGGAAGGGAAATTATCCTGATGTGTTGTGTCAGGATAAGAAATAATTCCCAAAACTAAAACAAAAGAGAGTTTGGGTGGTATCTGCAACTCATAGCCTCGTCAAGGAGTGTGTTAAGTAGGATTTCTTTGTTTGTTGATAAATGCTGCAATCAGAAATATTCCAGCCATATCACCACATCCTGTAAATAAGAGTCGGGGCTAGACAAACCAGTGAGAAAATGAGCCACAATGTCCCACCATGTCCAGACAAGACAACTTGCAACTAACAGTCACCAAACCTAACTACTTGATCCAAATTAGTCACCTCGTACAACAAGCAGTAGTACACTGGATACCCAGGACCACCCACAGTTCAAAGTGGGAAGGCCACATATTGCAATGTGTGTTATATTATGTAATTTAATTTTGAAGACATGATATACTGGTAATAGTGCCCACCTGGAAAGGGTGCATATCCTTATGAATAAAGCTGTAATTCTTAGAGACAGGCACTTACAGTCTAAGGGAGATAACTCTAGTTGCTGGAAGTAACTAGAGTTATCTCCCTTAGACTGTAAGTAACACTGTCAGTGAGTTGGGTAATTCTAAACTGCTAAGTAATGGTAGGTGATCCATGTTCAGTACATGTTGCTAGGGTATCTGGTTAGGTTGGGAGGAAGTAGCAGAGATTATAGAAACAGCAGTTTGTGGCCAGATCTTAAATATACATGCTGTGCCGTAAGTAGCTGTTCTTTCACCAAGATCATAAAACCAAGAGAAATCAGTTTCCACCTAGCATCTTTTTCACTAACCTTTAGGTTTATTTGCAAATGACAGTTTGAGCTGTGTAGTGGACCCGACTTCATAGTGAGGCTTCTCTGCGGTGATCTGAACTAGTGACAAGCCATTGTCTGATGACAGATTCTGTAGGGCTGCCTTGTCATCATCACTCAGAGGTAGAGAAACAGGCTGGTTGAAACAAAAAAGTTAAGTATAATTACTGGAAAAAAACACTGTTATAAAGCTGAGCACCAAATGAGAAACATGTATTCATAATGGGATTGAAATGGCTGAACCACATGTCTTTTTCACAAGTGCTCTACCTGGATGAAACGTATGGTGAGGAGAAGGAGCTGCTTGCTGATCTCAGAATAGTTTACATTTCTAAAAATGCCAGTTGTCACCAGTTAGCATCTATCTGATCTAGTGGTTGTGACAGTTGTCACCAGTTACCATCAATCTGATCTAGTGGTTGTGACAGTTATCACCTGTTAGCATCAATCAGATCTAGTGGTTGTGACAGTTGTCACCTGTTACCATCAATCTGATCTAGTTGTTGTGACAGTTGTCACCAGTTAGCATCAATCAGATCTAGTGGTTGTGACAGTTGTCACCAGTTAGCATCAATCTGATCTAGTGGTTGTGACAGTTGTCACCAGTTAGCATCTATCTGATCTAGTGGTTGTGACAGTTGTCACCAGTTAGCATCTATCTGATCTAGTGGTTGTGACAGTTGTCACCAGTTAGCATCAATCTGATCTAGTGGTTGTGACAGTTGTCACCAGTTAGCACCAATCTGATCTAGTGGTTGTGACAGTTGTCACCTGTTAGCATCAATCAGATCTAGTGGTTGTGACAGTTGTCACTAGTTAGCATCAATCTGATCTAGTGGTTGTGACAGTTGTCACCAGTTAGCATCAATCTGATCTGGAGTTTGTGACAGTTTAAGCTAACCAACCAAAGGTACATGATTTTATCAATGTGCCATGATACACTGATCTACTGAAAACAGATCTGTTTTCTACCTCATGTATTGCATCTTCCTGAGGCAAGGGCATCAACTGATTACATAAAAGTCAAGTTTCAAACCTTGCCGAACTAGGCTGAAATTTCTGCATCATATTTTGGCTGGCCTAACGAGTCTATGAATAGGCCAATCAAAATTGTGTTATGAAATTGACATCCAGTTTGCAAACAACATGGTGACTGCATAGGTCAACTGCAGGATTTGCAAAACATGTGTACCAGCAACTGGGCGTCAACAGATAATTTCCTCATCTTTTCACGTTTTTAATCAAGGTGCTCAGGTGATTTGATGCATTTCCCAAGGTCAGACCTATCTTATTACAATATAGATTTTGATAATCGATGAGATTGTCGTGACAGGGTGCTGTCGCAATTTTGTTTGTAGCAAATGCAAGTGATATGAGAGGTGGAATCTGATTGGTGAATAGGAAGGACACAGAAGGGACATAACTTGTAATAGCCACTGTATTAGTATGTAAGAGACACTAAATTCAAGCCTAGTTTGGCAAGGGTGGAAACTGGACTTCAATAGTCAGTTATCTCCCTGCCTCGGGAAGCTGTGTCAGTTGATGAACCAATGATAAAATAATTCCTAATTCTCCACTGCTCCACTGGTACTTGATGGACAATGGAACATAACAAATAATGATAACCTACAGCTGACAAGTTGACAAAGCCTGAGAGTTTCAGTGTTGACACCATCTTGTCTGTTGTCTGTACAGTTCCACTGGCATTGTCGGAGACAGCATCCCTGATGTAGAGTTTACCGACCGGCTTCAGTATCCTGCAGATTTCCCCGAGTCTGTCCATGTCCTGTTGGATGACCCCAGGTTGATGCAGGCCACAAACTGCTACGTCAAACACCGAGTTGGGATGTGAAGCTACAACACACATTCCACTTGTTCAGCAAAAAACACACCACAATGACGGTTTCAACTGAGAGTTGATTACAATGCCCTTATACATACATTCGTATTAATTAAGAGATGAAATGGCAACTTTATGAAAAACTACTTTTGTCCTGATGCTGTTCTAGTTAAATAAATGTGTTTGTTTAGTGTTATTACCCCTTGTGGATCTGGACCCCCATATGATCATAGCACTATCATATGTTTGTTGTAGCGTCAAGAGCGTTTTGGGCAAGTGAATCCTGGGTTAGAATAGGTCCCTGTTGAGCTCCAGATAATGTTTTGAGCCACTAAATATTTCCTCAAAAGTTATTATTCACATTGGATTTAGATAGTTTTCTTTAGGTATTCAATATATTTTTACTCCTTAAGTCCAGTCTATTGGGTATTTTTACACCAACGACTATTTGATAAAACGACTGTATATTACAACTGTTAGATAAAATGATGGTATATCAGCAGATCGTGAAATTCACTTAAGGGCAGTTACATTAGGAAAAGCTTGTGCGACAAACAAACTCGATTAGCAATAGATTCCAATGGAAAAGCACATTGTGCCTAGTCAATGTATCTTAAACAGTTGCTGACTGGTGATTAGTGCCTTTCTTACAATGCTAGGTCTTGTAGGCATAAAATGGTTTCTGAGAGGGAGCCGCAAGACATAGATGGGTATACTACTATTTATTTATTTTTAATTATTTACAGGGATTGTTATGAAACAGGTTTTCAAGCTAAAATACTCAAATGTTAAGAAACAGGTGGGTTAAAAAAATTTGAATACCCTCTAAAAACTGTGGAAATCCACCAAAATCAAACCCCTGGATTAAATACCCAAATAAGCAAAAGCTTATCTAGACCTGTGAAATGTTATTTCAGGTGACTTCCAATTTTGAACAGTTTGTGTGCTGCCCCCTGTTGCATAAACTGACAACAGAGATATACAAGTATATGTGTCTAATTAACAATAAACGAGATATAGCACCTTGTTAAGCATTATTTACTACAGTAGAGTTCATGTATGTGTGATGCCTGCATTAGATCAGTATATAAAGACGTGTAAATTAATACAGATAAGCAAGTTGAAAAGGATACACTGATTAATTATGCAACAGTGTTGTTATACATGTACTATTGGGGTTTTGAAACTTTTCATGTGTATTTGTATGCAAGCATTTTTAAAATTGTGTTTGTTGTTTAACACCACACTCAGCAATATTCCATCTATAGACGGTGGTCTGTAAATAATCATGCATCAACCATGTCAGCGAGCCTGACACCCTGACCCATTTAGTCGCCTCTCGCGGCAAGCATGGGCTGCTAAAGAGCAATTTTAACCCAGATCGCCATGGGACTTGTAACTGACACTGAAAGCAACTTTAAATTACTTGGGTAATGGTGAGGTGAGGTTAAATGGGGTTTAACGTAGTGTCCAAGATTATTGCACTTATATAGTGACGTGCATGCATGTGTATGTATGTGTGTGTGGCTGCTTGTACTAGTCCGGACTGATTCCGATTTATAGTGCTACCATGCCGCAGTTTAACATGAATACCCCACTCAGACACAGTATACTGACTCCGAGCCGACCAGTCCTCGTTTTAGCTCCTTAATGCAGAGCGCCAGACAGGGTAACAACAAGTACCATCTTTGAACGTCTTTTGGTATGACGCGGCTGGGGATCGAACCCCGGACCTTCCGCTCTCCGGGCGGACGCTCTACCATTAGACCACGGAGGAGGTCCTTGGGTAATGGTGATTCATTTGGAACACTGAACACAAATGAACAACTTATCTGTAACTTGGTCCGTGTCAGTCAATTGCATGTTGTAAGAAGCTATTTAATTAGATCAGTGGACATGTTTTGCTTAATGTATGCAAATGTAACCTGACTAGGTGGGATGTTGCTCAAAGTCATAATATCAACCACTGGTTTATTGGCCCAGATTTGATTATTTCCAGGCCTCCACAACATAAATGCAGCTGGCTGCTGTGCAGAGGAATATAAAACCATTCTGACATTAGGATATGCTAGACAAGAATTGTAGTGAGTGAAAATAAAGACTTTCTATAAATATCTCTACCTATATCTACATGGATGATGCTCTTCACTCATTAAGTTCAGTTTGCTTTCATTTTTTATACTGTTCCAAATTCCATTCATCAAGTGAATGCTCACAGCACTACGTCATCAAATAGATCAGTGTGCACTCAACTTTCATTTTCATCTACATGGGGAGTATTAAAGACCAACAAAGTTCAACTGTCCCCAAACTTGAGAGTCACAACAATGATCTGAATCAGATTATTGTTTTGACATACAGACAACACACACACTAACAACATACACTGTGTAAGTCTCTCAACATGTTCCACATGGATGCTGCCGGATTCTCCTACTTGGTTGGTCAAAGATTGGACAATATCTTGAATATTTTCCGATGACTGTCCACCCCAAACAAGGAGTACTTTCTGCCCTGGTTTGATGTCAATGTTGTCCATTTTGTAGGAAACCTGTTGTTGAAATAAAGAGAAAGATGAAGTATGCTTAGAATAAAACAATATTTGATGAATATGATGCATAATATTCCTAAAAATGCTAAAAATGAACCTAAATGTTTTGTCCTATTTTCAATTAAACTATTTGGGTTTACTTTAGGATTGAGAAGAAATATAAAATCCCATATTCTTCAATATGCACTCTGATAGTTCTTTTGAGGGTTGGTGCAACATCAGCAACGGCCTCAATAAGAATGTTATTGTAAGAGAGATTTGTGGCTATGTATTAGTCATCAGTAATAAGGGAAAGGAAAACACGGAGCAGCATATAGGTATGATTTCACAGCTGTATGACACTGATATACAATGGAACCAAAATATTTTAGGTGAGGAGAAAAAGCGTACTTCTTTGAAACTACTTTTGATGTATACCCAGTGTAAATATAACTTTATTGGCATCTTTTCTCTAATCCACGAAATACATAACACTGATGTCAAGAAAGATTGGAGACCAGTCCCTTCCCATGATATTTGACCGCCTCCATGGTCTAGTGGTAGAGAGCGGAAGGTCCGGAGTTCAATCCCTGGCTGTGTCATACCAAAAGACGTTAAAAGATGGTACTTGTTGTACTACTATTCAATGTCTTTTGGTATGATGCAGATGGGGATTGAACCACTGACCGTCAACTCTCCAGGCACTATATATGATAACTAGATACGGTCCACAAAAGTACATGTATACTACCACATTACAGTTACGTCAGAGATCACCACAGATCTGGGAATATGGTTGTATACCAATCTAAGTATATTACCTCAAACAGAACATATCTAAATTAATACCCAACTGGTGTATAACCACAGCTATTTCAGTTGAAAAACATGTTAGACTCATTCCTAGTCTGCACATCAGTATGGTTTTGTTTATGATCATTTGACCATGTTGGAAATGCCTTTTCAATCCAATCTCCACCCCCTGAATTAAGCAATGTAATTTAGGGTAAATCAGTACAATTTTTAGCAAGTTTCGAGGAAAACATGCCTACATGCACATCATGGCAAACAGCTGGTTTCTGATCACCAGGTTTTCGAGCACAAATTATTTGTGATTCCACCCCTGGTCCCATGGTAAAGAGTTGGCTAATTAGTTTGTTTCATTAGCCTAGACTGTCTTCAAGCTGACAAGGCTATTTCGCTCCTTCATGCATCCGTAATTGAAAAAACGTACTCCCAATAAAGAAAAACGTTTCATAAAAATAATCGCCAACATAAAAAGCTAGCAGAGACAAAGTCCGCATCTGTGAAATCAGTGTTATTTAAGCTATAACAATTTTCGTTATATGTTACGCTGAATGTACAGAATGCGCTATTTGGGGTATTATACTTCGATCGATATATCATACGCAGATTTGTGGTTAATTTTGATAATCCTTGCCGTCATCGTGATTCAGGAGTTTTTCCAATATTTGTTGACATGTTGCTCAACATAACCTTTCAATGGAAAAATATATGTTCCAAATACTGGCCCTGTATCCTAGATATTAAATGATTTTAATCCATTTTGACAGAACATGTCATAATACCATTATTCCTTTACCTGATAAAACTTGCAAAGAATCGTAGTGTCTCAATATTTTGCTCACGAGTTACTCTTCATTCTCGTCCTTGACCTTCCAAATAACGCAGCAAATAATATTATTTGAAAAAATATATTATATATACAGAGTACAAATATTTCTTTTAAAATGTAGCGAAAAGGGGGAGCGACATAAAGTTACAGATACCCAATATTTATACGTCAATATTAGATATTATACATTATTTACTCCAATCGGTGTTAAGAATGACGACGACATCCGTTGCACAAATAAGTCGTGGTATTTGATTGGTCGGTTGGGGAAATGCGGTAGATTGAAATTTCGCTTACCGCTCGTTCAAGTTGAAGTCTGTTTTGAAAGCGTTTCGTTTCATTTTACGAAATGGCAGAAACGGAATTAGGTCCTATGGACGTAGAATGGGATTACAACTGCCCACAATACGTCGATTTCAGCGAGCCTTTACCTCTGGATGATAACGCAGACAAATGGTTTGGTGAGAAATTTTGGCCATGATCACTTGGTCGGGAATTGTTGATTGAAGTTATCTTTGGATTGGGCATAGATCAGAAACACAATGTCAATTGGTTTGAGGGTTTTATGTATAATTTATACTATTCATGTATAAATGTTAATGATTCACCCCTGATTTTTCTATGTAATGATATCCAATGGTAACATTCCCTTATGTCATGTTTGAATAGGAATAATATATCAAGTTCATGTCAAACGTATGGCTTCTTGATATAAACTGTGTGTTACAACGCGTAGACTGATGTCTAATACATAATATCTATTCACGTCCTTGGATGATCACAAAGAGGGTGAAAGTGGTTGTTTAAATCTATAGTATGTCCACAGTTACATTTGTTCTCCATCTGTATGATGGTTTGTACACAGACATTTTGACAAGTTTGAAGACTTCTTGGTCCCCTTCTTGTAACAATTCTACAAAATCTACAATGTTCAATATTCACAATTTAAACCAAAGGTCCACCCTTAGATTTAATTAATGAATAAATGTGCATGGCTAAATCAGGATATGTTGTGCATGAGTGACTTTTATATTACAGTGGCAGGAAGTGGTGAATGTTTATTATTAATATGGGTGAAGTGATCCACTGAAACACTGACGCACCGTGGTTAGTTCCCCATTTTTATTATGATACGATACCTGATGTTGCAAGTACATATTTTTACTTACTTGAAGAAAGAATAAACCTATCTAAATAGAGATAAATGTGAGCTTGAAAGCCACCCTTGTCCTGGGTGCACCTGTGTATCAGCTGTTTGGGATCATTTATCATGCTTATTGTGAAGGACTCAGAACAGTAATAAGGAACAGGTATTACGGTGCAAATGAATGTTATCTGAGCTGTCAGTAACCAGCTACGAAATATGATCATGGTGATCATTGGGGAACATGTTTATCTCATAGTTCACATCTGTTGATGAGTTTCATGGGTGGATACAGAGGGGGGGGTGCACCACCCCTTTTTATTTCGAAACAAATCTTAATTTCTGTATAAATTACCACCAAAGACAATAAATAGATCTTAATTGTGCACCCCCCCCTTTTAAAAAAAGCTGTATCCGCCCATGAGTTTGTATTAATTATCTATCAGTCAGATCAGAGTGATCTGTAAATTGACATAATTTTGATGTTGGTGCAAGAATTTTGTGTTTATTTCATTATGTTCAGTTCAACTACACCATGGTTCACAATGACATGACAGAAGTCTACAGACCCACATCACTCACCATGTTCAGCTTATCTGGTATTCTTCTTCAATCAAATTTTAATGCTTTAGATGCAGACCATGAAGATTTTGAAGATAGCTCCATTCGTATCAGTTCAGGTAGGAATTACTTTGTTTATTATTGTTTATGTTTATCAGTGCTTCAGATTACTTGTACACCATGAACATCCGATTTATTATTGGTCTTCAGCAACCTTATAATCCTTTGCCATAAGAGGCAACCAACCGGATTGGGTTGTCTTGCGTTAAACAACCAACAAAGAAATCAGCTTACTTAATGTGACTATATGCACAATTGCTAACCTTTGGAACATTATACAGTTGCTGTCTCTGTTTTTCATCCATCAAATCCATGGTCCACTATTTTTTAAACCACTTTTTCATTTGACTGTTTTACACACATACAACATGGTGCAAGAATGTATGGTGTGATCATGATGATGCACATGATCACATTGTCAGTGATTGTTAAGATACAAAATCATCAAGTGGTGATGATGAGCAAAATAATTGAAATGTTCTATGATTGTTTTCAGAGTACAAAACCGAAAATAAGAAACCCACAGAAGAAAATGCGAAAACTCCGAAAGTACAAACACCTACGCCGCAAGCTCAGGTGGCACCAATGAAATCAGGTATCATGGAAGTTCTGGAATTCAGTGATGTATATCAAACTGAAAGGCTTGGTAATAACAATAGAACACATTAGTAGCTCATCTGGATTGAAGGGAGCGTCTGCTACAATCTGATTGGTTTTAAAGCTCTGTTAAATGGAATTGGATCCTGAATTATTTTTTTTATCTTTTGCACTTTTCACTGTGAATCAACTTCTTGATCAGTATCTTTTCAAGGAAGCATATTGTCCATTAGTCAGTATACTGTGTCTGACTGGGGTATTTGTGTTAAACTGCGGCATGGTATCTCGGTGAGCTGGCACTATAAATCAGCATTAAACCGGACTAGTACAAGCAGACACACGCATGCATGTTGCTATATAAGTGCAATAATCTTGGACGCGACATTAAACCCAATTTCACCTCACCCTGGACCCATGAACTAACATAGTTTTACTATCACTATCTAGCATGTATCAATAACTTCTCTTAAGTATTAACTAACATAGTTTTTGCATTTATGGAGTTATAAATGTGGAATATTGCAAATACAAGGAACAACATTTTTTATGTTTATGACTCCCAAAACATGTCAATTCGTATAATAATACTTCAACAATGACTTCACAACCTGCTTATTTAATTATTAACACTAAAAAAACTGGACAGCAATACAAAATCAGTGACATGGTTCAGCAGAATAATACAACGCTGTCATTGCCCATTCTGTTATCAGCCAATCAGGAAACCTTAAAGGATGAGACGTATCTATCTCTATCATCTTCAGCTCCATTTAAAACTTTAATAAACTAAAACTGAAAAAATATCTAGAATTTATTCTATCGCTTTAAGTTATTTTTAACAAGCATTTACCCTACCTGATAATATCCTTTTGAAAGTGATAATAGTTACTTACTTACTTATATTAGGAGATTTTACGTGCGCTTTCCGACTGGAGCGTATTTCGCACACGGGTTAATAGTTCCCACATGCAGGTCCTTAAGACTGGTAGGATTGGACCATAGACTGTAGTGCTGAATTGAACATCTTCATTGTGTGTTATGATAACAGATATTCATTCCATGAAGAGGTAATTTTGACAACACCTGAATCTCAGTCTATTGATGTGATTGTAGCTGCAGATTCGGTTTAACTAATCCCATGCTGTAATTAGTAACAATGGTTGTAATTAAGGAGCATTTGCATTGTGTTGTATCAGACAAGCCTAATGTGCATCAAACATCAAAGGCTCCTCTAATGACAGGCCACCTTGTAGGGTAAGCTTATCTTGTCAATGTGTCACCCAGTGTTAGACAGCTACAGAATAAACATCAGACGTTGTTTTACTGAGGGCATACAAATTCAATTTGCTTAGGTGTCATTTTGTCTCTCACTTCTGTAGTGACAGGTGTGATGTCTTTCAAATAGACTTAAATAGTGTGCTTGGGTAGGGTCGGTGCAGTAGATAACCTTGTAGTGGACGGTGCAGTGTAGCAAACAGGTATGAACTGATACTATCAAGGTGGTCAGTGCAGTAGAGGACCTTGTAGCACTGTGGATGGTCAGAGTTAGAAATTGGCACTTCTTCTATAGTCCATTCCAAACTGCCCAATAGTTAAGGTATAAGGACTAGTAGATATTTGCCATCTTAAGGTTTTGTTATATATAATCGTTATAAGGACTAGTGGACCAAAAACCTTAGTTTCTGTGGTGCAGTGTAGCCAACAAGTATGCACTGTCACAAAGTGGAAAAATACCAATTACTAAGGTGACTAAAAAATCAACTTGGAAGTTATGTTTCTCCTAAATTTAGTGCGGTTATCATCAATTGTCTGCATTACTTTGGTGTTCTCTCTCGACACAGATGGTCTCTGTGGGCTATATAGTTATATATATTGCAACATTGAACACTGAATTAGTACATGCATAAATACAAATTGAAAAATAATTTTTGTTAGAGGGAAGCACAGGACCAGTTACTCGTCTGCAAGCAAAGATGACCCCACCATCATCAAATATCATTACATCTCTCGATGAATGGAGGGCCAAGAAGCCACAGGTTCAGACACAGTCGAAGCCTACTAGCAAGAAAGTTGGAATAGTGGCACCTTTGAGACCCGGGTAAATATTGTTAGCCTTACTGTTTGAATGTTACTTAAGCATGCTTATAAAGCTAATCTTAAAATGTGGATTGTTCAAAGTTTTCTGTTATGGTAAATATTGTTTTCTTCTGATTAATCCTTTTAATGCCACTAATGTCAGTCCATGGAAGCGCAGTAAACAGTTACAAACTAGCCACCAATTCTCTTTCTAGGAAACGAGCAAACAGCAGTTCTGGTACTGACGTTTCCCCAGTTACATCAACCAGTGACAGGTTTGTTTAAATTTATGTTATCCGAAAGTAAGGTGTATTGGTTGATTATTTTACTTCACAAGCCTTGTTTGACAGGAATTGCCCGCATACATATTTGACAGAAAGTGTGACACATGAAATAGTCTCATTGGATATTATGGATAATGTGCCGATTATTCCCAATTATGATGCATTCATCCAATACAATGCCTACCAGTAACAGTTTGATGGAACAAACAGGATTGTTTTAATGTAAAATCGTACAATTCCATTTGTGACATTTGTGTCATGTTTGTAATGTAATAAATAGATATATCAAGTTGAAGGTTTCTGCATTTTGTTCACTTTGCATGCTCAGAGCTGTTTTACTTTCATGTTTTTGATGAACATTTCAAAACATTGTTGTAGCCAAAGGCCTGCATTAAAACGACAGCGGATTTCAGGAAGCAACATTCGAAGGAGTGGGTCCCAAAGTAAATTGGAAGTTTCGAGTAACATTCGAAGGAGTGGGTCTCAAGACAAATTGGAAGTGTCAAGCAAGAGATCTTTAAAGAGAAGCAACTCCTCAGCCAGTTCTTCCAAACCTGAGAGAATAGCGCGATCCCATACCCGAGGATATTCAGCTGGTCGCCCTGTTGTCCAGAATAAAGACGACACAGAGGGTCCAGGTGCTAAGTTACCCAAAATGCCAACCCTGCCCTGCACACCAACCTTTATGAGGTGAGTATTTATACAGGAGATAATGTATTCATTTGGGGACATCTTATGCAATAATAAACCGTGTTATCTGGTGGGGATTCTGAATTAGAATAAGCTCCCAGCAACATATGCTGGCTATGAGAGGTGACTGAACAAATTGGAACGTTAAGCTTGGTAATTTTGTTGATAACCTGTCATCATACCCTGACAATGTGGTTTCATTTTATCATAATACCAGTCACTGGATTGTCTGGTCCAGATTTGATTATATACAGGCTTAAGTTATATAGCTGGAATAATAATGATACTGGTGAAAGCGGCATTAAACAACAAACAAACAATGATTGATATTATCATCTCTGAGATTTAAGAGATGTCACTTTGTCGCAATGAGATTTGAGTAAGATATGGTTGTTTCATAATACCAGCACCACCTTGTATGTACAAATTGTGCTGTCATTTTCAGGAGAAAGCAACTGGCTGCCGGGTCTCCACGAGTTAAAAGTACTGAGGAGCAGGAGTTGGAACAGATAGCACAGATGAGGAAGGAGTTGGCCAAGAAGAGGAAGATGGCCATGGATTCCCTGCAGAAAAGTAAGACTGCTCCTGGGTATGTCGCGGTACATAACTCACGAGAACCCACTATAATACAGGACTTCAAGTTCAGCACAGACAGTAGAATAAAGTCACAGCACCAGGACATCCAAGATGAGAGTACCATTGATTTTGCCAAGTGTCTGCGGTCTAATACTGCCTCCGCAACACAGGTGAGGATTTTGAATGGTGCATAAATCTAAGCAACTGAATACAGATGCAAGTTGATGTGATTCATATAAACTGTGTAATAAGTTGGCTGGTTTGTTGGTTTGTTTAATGCTGCACACAGATATGTTAGGATTCTGTAAATAATCAAGTCTGGATCAGACAATCCAGTGATTATTATCATGAGCATCGATCCACACAATTGGGATCAATGACATGCATCATCCAAGTCAGCGAGCCAGCCACCCGATCCTGTTGGTCGCCTCTTACGACAAGCATAGTCACGTTTTATGGCAAGCATGGGTTGCTGAAGACCTATTCTACCCCGGATCTTGTGTGATAAGATTCCTCTCTGTGCACATGCATATATCTTCTCATCTATGCATCCTTTCATACTATATTATATAACTGTTAATACCAAAATCATTTTGTCAACAATCCTAAACTTTTGGATTCATTTTGGGTTTGATTATTAGCTAAGCTAACTGACAAGTAGTGATTGAACATGTTGAACGTTGGCTTCACTGACAAGAAGTGATTTGAACTTTAGGCTGAAACCAGATACAACTTCTCTACATCTTCTTTAATATTTAAGGGTCCAAGAAGTTTAACCAGGCCACAACCCTTCAAGCTGACAACCAGCCACAAACCAGCACCACAGTCGGAAAAGTTCCTGTCCATGGCACAGTCTGTTGCAGCCTTCCATAGATCGACACCTGACAGATTCAGAAGAAAACCCCGAGGTAGGGACTGTAAAGCAGTGGAGAAGGAAGATAATCCGTAGTGAAAACATTTTGATGGATCAAAGCACCCTCCGTGTTTGTTTAGGTGAAAGGATGAGGATTAAGATAGTAATCCCTGTCAGACACCTTGTTGAAAGGGAGTAGTCATTATGTCAGTCCGTCAATTGATTAATCCTTTTGAACTGTGTGTGTTGATAAGGCAGGGTATAAGTGATGACATGCTAGATGTTATCTAGATGATCAACTTCATTCGACTTGGAAAGTTGTCACACTGCGTTCACATGTTGGATACTCCATGATTCAAGCTGAAATAATCCTTATCTGTGAGTGAATTAATATTTCTGCATTATTTAATTGAAGTAGGGAAAATTAGTATTTATGTTGTTTTTTATGTTCTGACAATAAAGCACTAAGCAGTTCTACAACATTTCACATGTGATGTCAATTATCAGCCTCCAGCTCTGACAAGAAGTTACTCAAGGCACGGTCACCTCACGCCCTTCGCCTCACCCAGCCAGAGACGCCGAAACTAGAGACCCGTCATCGCTACCGGCCGCCGACTGCACCCAGTCAGAGAGACCTTGAAGACCAGGAGTATCAGGAGATTATGAAGTAGGCTTCACTTCTACTCAAATTATTCTTGCTTTTGGTAGCTTGGTAGTACATTGCACATCGACATTAAATTTTAAAAATATATTTCTGGATGAGTTTCAATCAGCCAAGTCCTGCCAGAAACAGTATTGAATATTCTATAGCCCACTAATCCTATTTCATATGACAATGTACATATTCCATGTATACATGCAGAATACCATGCATGTATCCAGGTAAATGGGGTTAAAGGTAAAAATAACAAGAGTTTGCCACTAACGTGGCTATATCCCCGCCCCTGTTGCAGAATTTATGACATAATTAAATCTAAACAAACCCTAACCTTTTTTAACCGAGGTGGAACTTGTCATGGAAATTGTAAAAAAAAGATGAGTTTGGAGTCCATCTTGTTGCCATGGAAACATAAAACATTAATATTTCTAACAAAATTTAAATAGCAAATGGCACCAGTTCAGCATTTACCTGACAGACCTGCAAAGTTTGATGAAAAAATATTGAACGGTTTATGAGTTATGCTCCGGAAAGAACCTTACCCTCACAGAACCTAAGTCCATCTTGTTGCCATGGAAACATAAAAAATTTCTTAAATTTCTCAATAGCAAAAGGCACCAGTTCAGCATGTACCTGACAGACCTGCAAAGTTTGAACAAATATTGAACGGTTTATGTGGTATGCTCCGGAAACGAACCCTACCTGTCTAAAATTTCTAAATAGCAACAGGCACCAGTTCAGCATGTATCTGACAGACCTGCAAAATTTCATGAAAAAATATTGAACAGTTTATGAGTTATGCTCCGGAAACGAAACTTGACGGATGGACGGACGGAGCCCGTTTCTATATCCCCGCCAACTTCATTGGGCGGGGGATAATAAATACTGAAGGTACATCTTGATAATGGTAAAAGAAATGCTTTTTGTTTATTATCTGCTGTCTGACATATCTTTGATAACCAGAGAGCAGCATTCCCAGAATATTTAGAACAATATTTACTCACAATATACTTCAAGTAAAGTGAAATGATAGTAAAGTGATATATGTTCAAGCCGTGTTTACAAATGACCGCAGTATGTTATGCTCAGAAGCAGACAAGGTTCTAATGCACCATTAACTAATATTTTTTCCTCTTTTCCTCACAGATATCAGTTTAAGGCCAACCCTGTGAACACGAGGATCATGAGTCAGGCTACAGGACTCTACAAACCAGAGCCAAAACCAACAACCAAGCCAGAGGAGTTCAACCTTCACTTAGACAAGCGTTTTCAGGAACGGCCAAATAAAGCTTCAGATGAAGAGGAATTTGTTTTCCATGCTCAGCCAGTGCCGAGGAAGATTCTGGAGGGAACAGTGGTAAGAACACTTGAACTCTAGAAAGTATTTCAAATGAATGCTTTTTAAGTGTATTGACACAATTTGCTGCGAGGTTGCGGATGCAGTGTTGAGCAATAATCACTCTCAGTGTAAGGGTGAATCATTGTTTGTCTTTCATTATGAATACGTTTTATCAACAAGGAAAGTTGTTTTGTTTATTTTATCTTTGGTCATTTGTTATTTCTCAACTTAATCCTTGCTTATTTATCATATAAAACATTTTTAGGTATTACCAATTTACAGTTTTTCACCCGATGTTACTGTATGTAAATTAGCTTGGAATACTGAGACTTACACTTTCCTGTTTCTGAAGGGTGTAAAGCCAGCAAGGGAGATACCTTCCACTGTGCCTCAGTCACCAGCCTTTGCTCTCAAGCATCGGGTACGGCTCCCTGTTGAAGTACCACAAGAAAAGGTAAGTGCTGCTTCTAGTTGCATTTGTTTGGTAAAATTTAGATGCCATTTATTATTTTAACCATGTTGATAGGATTTAGTCCTGGGAATGCTTTAAGATCCATGATTTCTCTATGTTGTAGGAAACAGAGAAGCCTTTGCCCAAGGCTCACGCTGTGCCTCACCCAGGCATCCCATTCCAGCCCAAGCTGTCCCACAGGACAACTACCCCAGAGCCATTCAGCTTCGAGAGTCGCTACCCTGATCCAAACGCTGTGAAGGAGGCCAAACTGCGACAGAAACTTGAGGAGGAACAACGGGTATGGGAAACAGATGTATTGGCATGAGCCATAACAATGAACAATATAGAACCATAAGAATTTTTCTGGAACTGAACATGTATAACATAATAATCCAAAAGCTTTTCATAGCCTTGTTTCCTTACATGTTTCCAAAGTTCTATGGGCAGCCCTGTGACAAAAGCATCGGTTAACATTGAAGACCCACATGGGTACATGAACCTGATTTCTGTTTTCCCCTGCCGAACTATATGGCTGGAATGTTGTTATAGGCATGTAGACATGTCTATCACACAATTGTTTTAACATACTTTGAGATTATTACTTTACACTGCTCACCTGAGCGATGAGATACATGGAATTCTCAAATGACTTTCATGAACTCAGCACCCTGAAGACTAAGATGTACACTGAAATGTAGTTTCTGTGTCATCACACTATCGTTCCCCATTGTGAAGAAGTGGTTTCAAAAACTGAACAACGATATGCTTGTCATGCTTGTGTGATGTTTTTAAACATAAGATCAGCAATGATATGCTGAAAAATACTAGCGTGTTATTAGACATGTCAACAATGATATATTTGTTTTGCCAACAAAGCTTCTGAAACACCCGTATCCTGATACCTGGATATTAACATTCTGTGCTACAGGCACGCGAGTTCCGGGCCAACCCACTACCACGCTTAGAGCCTGTTCTACCCGAGAGGCACACCAAGATCTGTACAAAGCTGGAACCCTTCAACCTCCAGAGTGACATCCGCGGTGCCAAGAAGTCAGAAGAGTGGAATCACAAGGTTGTAAGTTAATCCATGAAGATGAGTGAACTTAGAATCTGTCAATACTTGCAGCAGAGTATCCTTCCTTAAATGTTCATCAGAGTAATCTTTTCCAAGGAATGTGTCATTTGGCATGTTGCTGTGAATTACCAACTTTTTGGCATGTATTTCGCATGTCTCCGAACCATCACTTGAAATCACTGGTTTTGGAAAGCTGCAAGTTTTGACAAAGATCTCCCTAGTTTGTTGACTGTATGTCTGTGTTTGTCTGGAGAACTAACTGAAGCATGCTGTCCTGAAGAATAACACAAAGATGTTTGGCTTATTTTGACAACCGGATATTTGATAAGCAACATTAGCGTGTAAGTAGGTGTGACAACAACATTTAGACAAATCGACTGCCACCAATTTAAAAAGAAAACTCATGAACCAACCTAATTTGTTTTACTATTTTAAAGAGTGCTAGCCCATGGGGTTTTATCTGCCATTTTAAGATTACTGTTGATTCATAAAATATCCATAAAACTGCACTGAAACTAGTATACATGTACATCCTTCAGAATCTTGCACTTATAAAAATCAGAACTTTGAAAACTTGGATATTGACAATTATGTAAAGCACTAAATAATGCAAGAAATGGTACAAATAGTGTCAATGGATGATAGCTGTTTTACAGTTGTCTCACTTTCCATCATGTCTCTTTGTCAGCTGGAAGAGGAGCAGGTGAAGCTGAAACAGGCAGCAATATTCAAGGCCAGACCTGCCGATGTTGTCCACCAGGAACCCTTCATGCCCCAGAGATCAACTCGGCCACTGACAGGTTAGTAATGCACATGCACCATATCAATTAAGACACATTCATGATATTCATGGTGCAGAAATAATTTAAGATCCAATTTCACAAGAAACAAACATAAGAATGACAAACATTCCAAATCAAAGATGATATTACCTTCATTACTGCAACAATTGGTGATGTCGACAAGCATATCAATGTTTTTCTAGAGGCCATAAGTCTTGGTTATTTTTACCAAACTCCAAAAGGTTAGAATATAGGTTTGGTAATTGAAACAATTTGATTCTTCCAAGATTTTTTGTTTGACATGAGAGCCACCAGGCCAGAAAGGGTGGGAAATGTAGATTTTAGTCAAATGGGTTACTAATGGGACAACCCAAGGGCGTCATTAGAATCTCAGAATGGCCTTCAGATTTTGTAAATTTTGAATGATGATTGCTGTCTGGTGGGACATTTTCTTGGAACATTAAATCTTTACTATATAGATATCTGCTAGATCCTTATTCCTATCTGTCAGAAAATGGCAGACAAGCAATCTTTATTTCCTTGTTACTGCATTCTAACTGTAATTTCTGGTTAGATGTGAGTGACATGACGCTGAACACCGAGCGGCGGGCTGTGGACCGGGATGAGTATGAAATCAGGAAGAAGGCACGAGAGGCTCAGTTGGCTGAGTTGAGCCATGAACGGGAATCACAGAAGATAGAGGAAGAGAGAGCTGCTATTGCTAAACTGAGGGCAGAGATGGTTCACAAGTCCAACCCAATCAGAAAATTCAAACAGGTCGTTCTCCAAGGTAGCGAAAAACCACCAACATGTCCAGAGTCCCCAAGATTCTCAGACAGACTACGAAGCAAAGTCCGAGTATAAGCTTCGATCAGCATTGACATCTCTTTATCCATTTATTCATACACACGTGTGAATACAGCTGATACAGTTGACGGTGATGGTTGTAGACAGCTGATTATGGCTCCATCTCATCAACGGTCATCCAGGAATCTCGGATAGTAAGATACTGTATATTTCTGTCATCAATGTTGTACAGTTTCAACTACAGTTTAATCAATATCATTTAGACCATGCCCTAATTGTCACTACAGGTGCATATTGTTAGATTTTATTTTTGCATTTTTTGTAAGCCATAGCTATTTTCCTTAAAGTTGCAATCAAAGAATGTAAAAGGTCTCATTTCAACTGCTTTACAGGATCATGATGATCCAATGTTGGATATTGTCCTTTCATGATCTACTGTGGAACAAACCTATGCTCATTTTATGTAAAACATGCTTATGTATAAGCAAATTTTATTTATGTTTATATTAGATTTTATTTATCTTGAAAACAGCATTCATTATGTAACTACTGTTTGTCCATAGTAATAGGCTAACTAGTGGATGGGGGTTTCCATAGTAAGGAATATCCAGATTATTATAAGACAATATTATTTCCTGGTTTACAGACAATCCAATATTGCACAAATGTGGAACTTAATGAGACTGAACCTCGTGTGATTGCTATCTAATGTGCAAGGATTAGGGAGTACTTCTGCTCCTTGGCAGTGGTGTATCACAGGATGATACAAGTCGAAGTATTTAAGCCCAAGGAAACATTGTGTGAATAACCTTTTTTTGAGACACTGGAATGAGATTTTACAATGTTTATATGGTAAGATTAAGCCAATAATCATTGTAATTGTGGGTGATCTGCTATGTACTTTGTTAGTGTATTTGAGACACTTGTAGCCCTGATGCTGCATATAGTTGTACATACAAGTGGAGAGGTGGCTAAATGTGCTCAGACGTCTTCTCTTTCTCTGCCTACTGTGTTTTCTGTGAAGTCCTTTCTACCTTCTGTATCTTTCAATGCTCCTCGGTCATTTCCTCTCTGTAATTATGTAATCTAATGCTATGTGAATAAATTAATAAACCAACAAACACTTGTATTTTTTAATCTGATTATCTGATATCTTTCGACGTCAAATCTGCTGAGACAGCAATATTCAAGCAGAATCGAGAATAACTTTTGGTGTCATCATGGGTGGGAACAAGCTTGTGAAGTTGGTTCACGATGAGAAGACAATTGCCTAAGTTGCTGCACAAACCCAAAAGAAAACAAAGTGCAATGTCATCTATTTTTTTAATTTTTATAAAAATGTTTACAGTTGTTTTCATGATATAACAAATGATTGCGTAAATTTAGGATATGAAAATGAATGGCTCAACAATGAGTGTTATGAATATGGTTCATCACAAATGTACACCTACCCATATATATCGATCCATGTTATATATCTGTCTGTTTTCCAAAAGTAATATCTTACACTATCACAAAACCAAATGGTAACTAATTGCATACAACTATCATAACAAACCCAAATGAACCAGTCATGTAAAGTAAATACAAACTGGTTGATGGCAACAACCTCTTGTTAGTTGTGGAACATGCAAAATTGAGTATTGCATTATGTGACAATACCTCAGGTAGGTATATCATGACATCCATTATTGGTTCACATCAAAAATCCACCCATGACAACGGCAGTGATGGTACCACAAGGGTCTTGATAGCCAAGCAACTAACGTTATTAAGGCCAAAAGGTCTGGCTGTTCCATTTGTGTATACCAAAGATGGCATTGTTTATGAATCATCAACCAACAGTAAATGGGGCGTTTTGCAGTAGTTTACAGCTGACCATGGTATTCTGTACAAATCATTCTCACCACCACCAGGTGATAGTAATGTGCCAAATGAAATATTGGTTGAGTTACTGACAAATGTCTGAAATAAAGGGGGATGGGTGCCTCGGCACCTCCCTATGGATCTTCCACTACCCTGTGGGTTGGGTACTCGCACATCAAGGATCAGAAGCCATCGTGGGTATTACTTGTTACATCCTGATCTAGTTGCATCTTAGGTCTGCACTCTCCCATGCTGGACTTGCGTCTCATTACAGTGCACCCACTGGATGAAGGTTTGAGAAATTCCAGCCCAACGTATATCTGGTCTTGACATTGTTTCGTTAGTGGAAGAGTGTTCGATCTGCTCGTGTTCCGAAGACCAGGCGCCAGGACACCGGGATCTTCCACTCTGTAGGTCCGGTTGCCTCCTTCCCCACCTCACTGCCGGGAGCTGCCTGAACAAACAAATCACATGATTAACATGAGTTTGTCACAAAACACCCGATTCATGATGCAATGAAGTGTAAATGGCTACATTAGTGAACTGATGAATGATGCAAACTTTTGATAATCTGGTTTAAGAATATGCTTTACTATAACTGGTTGCAGGTATTTTTCTATGTTTAACACTCAGCAATATTCCAGCTATATGACGGTGGTCTGTAAATAATGGAGTCTGGACCAGACAATCCAGTGATTAACATCGTGAGCATCAATCTAGGCAATTGGGGTACCATGACATGCATCAGCCAAGTCAGCAACCCTCGATACTGTTAGTTGCCTCTTATGATAAGCATAGTTGCCTCTTATGACAAGCATAGTTGCCTCTCATGACAAGCATAGTTGCCTCTTATGACAAGCATAGGTAAAGGAATTTCTCTTAGTGCAGGCAAATAAGGAGAAAGTCATTATTTTGTTCAAATTTGGGAGTTCAAAGTTGTTATTTGCCTAATTAATGAGAAATTAAAAACACTGAATTTTAAACATGCATTCAATCAAAATATATTTAAGTGAGCATTAAATCCTTTCCTCTATATTGGTCCTGTCACAAGTCTACAAAACCATAACAGTCCTTGACTGAATTGTTAGCCAAACACCACATGGCAATGACAACTTCTCTTGATAGAACAATTTAAAAAAATCACTGGATTGTCTGGTCCAGACTCGATTATTCTGAGACTGCCGTCATATAGCTGGAATATTGCTGAGTGCGGCGTAAAACAACAAACAAACAAACAAAACATGACATTCTCTTCACTTGATACGTTCAAAAGCCGGAAGTGTGGAGTTGTCCATATAGAATAGAAGTAAGCAGCTTCTAGATTCATGCAATGGTGGACAGTCACGATTGCTCCATAAGACATTGTTTCAAAACACATACTAATACTTTGATCTCTACTAACTGGTGTCATTTGCAAGATGGGACTTCAACAAATATGTTCACCGTACATGTGAAGCCCCATGTTAGACATTGATGACAACCTTTAATAAGTTATGTCAATTTCACTACAATCTGATTTGCTGCTTACCTTTAGGGAGACAATCCTAAGCCAATTGTTCAACTGTGTAACCATGGCAACAGCATCATGGGCATTGTCCCCTTCTGAACAGAACATCATCATCACAACAACTGATGTGTCCATTTTGCTGAAACAATAGAACTTGCATTGACAACAATGAAACATGAAACAGTTTAGACATTGATAGTCCAGAAATCTCATTATCTTTGGCACAAAGCAATGGAATCAGGTTGACCCTATGACAATGTAACAAAATGAATTGAAACTTGACAAATTAGCATATTTGAGCAAAGCTTGGTTTAATGTGGTCCTGATGTAGCACTAGTATCTGACACTTATCCATCTTTGATTATCCAGTGTATTATATCTCCATTCTTTTATGATAACTACCATGGACCCATTTGCTGCCATATTTTTGTAATGGAAGTGACTGCATCAGCTTCACCGTTCTTATCACTAACTTGGTGGGGGTCGGGTAGCCTAGTGGTTAAAGCGTTCGCTCGTCATGCCGATGACCCATGTTCGATTCCTGACATGGGTACAATGTGTGAAGCCCATTTCTAGTGTCCCGCGGTGTGATATTGCTGGAATATTGCTAAAAGTGGCATAAAACCATACTCACTCACTATCACTAACTTGAGTTTGGTATGGATCTACTTGATGAGAGCCCTTGATGTTTAAAATACACTTGCTGGAAAAGATGACAGGGGTAGGAGTCCCTTTGCTGCAAGATGTTCCCAGTTATATTTGAGACAGCACACAACTTCGTGAGTTGATAACTGGATATAGAGCTGCTTCAATTGTGAAAGAACATTGTAATTTGATTGGGCAGCTATTATTAGTGTTGTGTTATTCAAACCAGACTGAAAAGGAACGGTGGTGAATGAGTCCATGGTTATATCCTGATAGAATAGAGATATGATACACTGGAACAATGAGGAAGACAGTTATAAAACCAACTTACAGATTCTCAAAGAGTTGTTTAGCAATGCCACTTCCTGGCATGTAGAGCAGCTTCTGTTGCGAGCTGCCATCGATGGTGAGTTCAGTCGGGGTAGCTCTTCGCTCCAGCTCCTGCCAGCCTAGTGTCGTGCGGAACAGGTCACCACACTTCCTGTCCATCGACTCTGATGGGACGAACCGGAACTGGGATCTTTCATACAAAAAGCAGACGTCAAACATACTTCTCATGTCTATTTCTCGCTAACTGGAAGAAAGATTAGGTCGGCTTCAACTTTAAACAGCTTCAAGTCATATGGCGCTGATCATTACTGGGGCGAACTTGGTATTCCCACCCAATGACCAGCAGATCCTGGCAGCTAAGGGAAGCAACTCAGACATAGTTAGCACCTATGCATTTTGCAGAATAGATGTTAAGATTGGTACCAGTGTGTGAAATAGCATGTAAACATAATGAGCTGGACAGGCAGGAGAGTAGAGACAGTGTTTATGGCGTTAATGACTGACCCTTGTAACTGGACATCCAGTCTCTCCTCTGAGTAGCTACTGGTCAGTATGATCACCTGCCGGAACTTCTGGAGCCTCGTCCACTCCGCCAGCCATGTCATGAACTTCTTCTTCTTGCCCTGAGTTAATACAGACATACATGCAGTTCATTCTCTTGTTTCACTCCCCTGCCCTGACAGTCACACATGTCGTATTACTATATTGATGCAAAGAAAACATTTATAAAGTGTATGCTCCGTCTGAATCAAATGTTATATAACCAAACCATTCGAAATAGACAGAAAACAGATCACATGTGCATAACTACATGTAGATGCACAATTTCAACTTTGATGCCTGAATAGATAACCTGTCAATTTTGGCAATCTCTATTTGCTATTCTATAATGCTATTAAAGATCAAAGACACAGACTACTTAGCCTGCGATAAAGAACACTTTTTGGGTTATGTCAATATGGGCTGATGTCAGGATGCTGTTCAGATTACCTCCATATCCTTAGTAACATCGTTCTTTCATTACTATCAAGCAATTATCAATTGGTAAAAATGTTTTAGACTTGTCACATAATGATTATTACCTAGGAAGAAATATGGTAAGATGATGTCAACCATATTTTGATTTATGTAATTATATTGAAGCAAATTAATATTTAAATTAATTAATAAAACTCAAAATAAAATCATATTTATTGCTGCATGGGATTATGGATAACCATACATTGAACAGATTATGAAATGTGACCTATTAAAAAATAAACCAACCATTTTTCAGTGATGTTGTTTCAAGTTTAAAACATAAATATGTCTCTTAACATAGGGGGGCAGGCAATTAGGCGGAAAAACCTGTCAGTTAGCCCTGTTCGAGGATTTCCAATTTACGTCACAGGTCATTACAGACTTGATTTTAATTATAGCTCCAATAAAACACTTGTTTAGTCTTAAATTTGGCATCTTAGAAAAGTAATCAAGTTTGCTCTACCCCCATGTGTAGCGTAATAAAGTATAGTTTTGCCCTGAACTATTATAGACAAAGCAACTGTCCTCATGCTTTGACTATAATAGTTCATTTCACATGGGGGTAGAGCAAACTTTTTTTCTTAAACATATCTGACTGGGACAGTGACACAGGTCGTGTGTGAAGAGAAAAGTACATGGGACCGTCTCAAAAACTATTTGTTACTGAAACTGCCATTACAAAAATGGGGCACCAGAACACTAGATTCCAAATGTGGATCTGTCAACAGGGTTTAATCTGAGTTACAGGCAATACAAAACACTACTAACCTTCACAAATGGTGACCTCTGTTGAAGAACAACCAATTTGTTGCTCTCGTTTTCATATACTGAAATAAAAGAAAACATCACATACAGTCTGAACAGGTGCTTGTTTACAAAACTGCATACATTCTGGATACAATATTTTCACATTTATTAAACAAAAACCAACGGTAATATTCTCAAACACAGGGATGTTTATTTGTTTTCTTCCACCTGCCCCTTCCCTCTAAGGCTGAGCACAGAGATAACATACAAGCAAAACAGAGCCACAAGGCTCTGAACTCACCTGAATTATGAAGAAATAATGGTTGCCATGTCTTAAATGGGATAGGAATTTTGACCACTTTTTAGAGACAGCTTAGCTGGGATCTTTCATGTAAAATGTAAGTTCCTTTGACCTTGGAGTTTCAGAATAGATGTAAAAAATACCATGACACTGGGTAAATGGGGTATGTGAAGATCAAAACTCAAAATATGCCAGAATTCTATGCCATATTATATATAATACCACATCATAGTTGCATATCAAATTTCATACTGATACATGCAGAAATGGCTAAGTAATCACAAAAAATGACATTTTCAATATGGCCGCTGTGGAATATGGAATTCTGTAAGCAGTTTTCAAGAGACACCATAGCTGGGATTCATTTAAGTCACGTAAGCCTTAGGCATAACCTCATAGGAGATTATTGGTTAACGATGACCAGACAGATGGACAGACAGATGATGGTCAACACACCACATCATAAAAATATGAATGCTTCAGCCAATGGATAAGGTGACTTACATTTGCTACTAAGTATGTTATTCTGTTGTCATAGTTACCTTCACAGCTGGTAGTGAGTTTACAAATGTTTGCGTCATGGTGAGCAAAGGGGTTGTTGCCGACCATGGGGAGGATGCTGTCATGGTAGATATAGCCGACTCTCTCCATCCACAACGTTGAGATGACCAGATCGGCTGTCAGCTGACCAACATTCCCAACAGACACACATGGCTGGAAACAAGTAGAGAAGTCCTTCAGGATTATCTATGATTCCAAACTAAGAGCCCTTTTATGTTCAAAATTGGCATTCTTAAAGGTGAGATTTCTTAAATACAGAGGTCTTTTAACATTGTATAACATTACATTCAAAAATGTAATATTAAGCACTAAACCCTCTTTATTGGTCTTGATATCAGTGAAAAAGTCAAGTATCATGATATCATACAAGTCAATCCAACCAAGCCATCACATTAGTTATAACCACTAATTTAGTCCCCATTAGGGAATGTTTGCCAACATTTGCTGCAGACAAATCGTGGCCTCTGAATAGGTCTAGATAAATCCCTGTCCCTAATATGAAACTATTTATCTTCTTTATCATTCCTTACATACTTGACTGCAATGAGTGAGTGGACAATAGCTAAGGGATGTTCTGCACAGAAGTTTTTTCATTGTTGTTTAATTTGGCATTCAGCAATGGTCCAGCTTAAAGAACAGCACTATATTATTTGTTTATATATTTTATATATTATTTTTTTTGTCCATTCTGTTGTGATAAATATCCTGGACCCATTCGCCACAATAGCTTCGGATCAGAAATGACGTCACCATCTCTATTTTCGTATCACAAAAGTTTTATCGATCACGAGTGTAATTTGATTGGATGACTATATATAACATTGTGTCATGGGGTTCAAAACGAAGCTGTGGTCGTGAATGGGTCCAGGGTATTATCGAAACTGAATGGACATGAAACACTCTGGACAACTGATTGTAATGCTTCATATCCTATTGAAATATCATCTCTTGGGATGAGGGTGCTTTAAATATTTCCACAAATTTGATAATTTTCCATTCTATTAACATAGAAGTAAAACTAGTGTCCTGTATATCTTCATTAAGTTTCAGCTCTCTGGGCCTTGTGAAGAACCTTAAACTGCCTGTGCCAAAAACTGATAAATCCACTAGGCTCGACCTCATTTTCAGTAGATCATAGTGTTAATGTATGGACTTTTATTAGCAAAGCTTACAAGTCCACAGGGTACAAGAATTAACAAAACTCTGGTAGTCTGAGACAAGTAAAATTTGAAGGACAAGTGACATTTCCTTGTGGTCTACCAGTTTTACCATTAGGTAGATGGCAACTCTGTAGAATATCATTTTTGCGGACTAGTGAAAATATAAATTAATTTCTAACCCTTACTGACCAAACAGAATTTTATTCGAAATGGCTATTGGACAAGTTGCTAAAGTCATGGACTATTTCATTTTTTTCGTAATTTGAATTATCATTTATTTTGAAAAAAATAATGTTAATTTCAACACCATGAACCACACCATAGTGCCACACATCATTCCGTGAATATCCGGGGTGGACTAGGTCTTCAGCAACCCATGCTTTCCGTAAGAGGCGGCTATGCTTGTCATAAGAGGTGACTACCAGGATCGAGTGGTCGCCGACTTGGTTGATGCATGTCATTGATCCCAATTGCGTGGATCGATGCTCATGATGTCAATCACTGGATTGTCTGTCCAGATTTGATTATTTACAGACCGTCGTCATATAGCTGGAATATTGCTGAGTGTGGCGTTAACAACAAACAAACATTCATCCCTGTAGCATGCCCACAGAAGAAGCCAATAATTCATGGTCAGACTCTGGATTGCATGATGTCAATCACTGGATTGTCTGAGAGAGACTCAGTTATTTACAGGCTGCAGTCATATTGCTGGAATGTTGCTGAGTGCAGCATAAATAAAAACAACAACGTTTGTTTATGGACAAATGGACAGACAGTAGTCAAAGTTCCGTACCATGAGCTCACATGACTTCTTAATGCTACCATGCACTTCCAGTCCAATCTTTTGTTTGAGTTGTATACCCTACAAAGTAGGGTTTAAAAAATAAGTCTTAAGACTCATTGAGTTGTTCCTCCCCACGGAAATCTTTAGTAAAAGGCGAAAGATTTATGCGAGGTGAAGAGAAACCAGAGTACTGCAACTAAGGAAATGTTTAGACCCATATTTCAAAGACATTATTCAGAAATTGGTGTTTTCTGTCATACTTATCACAATTATTTAATTCTCTTAGCTATTGAATTGGAGTTGTTGGTAGATTACCTCATAGATGGTAACACAATTACTATTGTGGTTTAAAGAAAATTAATTATGTGTAAAGATTTAGCAGGTATGTTTTCATTCAATCTTTCTTCAGCATATCATTAGTGAGTCAGCAAGCAATGGCCGACGTTCACCCAGTTTTTCTATTTATAGAATAAATCATGCCACAATGTACACACTTTTCACTCACTTCGGCCTGGTCATAAGGATGAGCGAGAATGATAGCCTGAAGCACAAGGAATCCTCAAACGCTTAACTATAAAGATATTCCTTCACCAAAAACTATAAGACTCTTGCAATCAGAAGGATGTTCTTTTTGTTCTTCCATAAACCTAACGTAGATGAAACTACTCAACATAGTGATTAAGATCACTGCTGGAAACACATTTAGATTCTGTCCTGTCTGTACAGCAATGATACTTGCTCCCTGGTTGACAGCAGTAAAACTGGCCCTAAACAAGCATAAACTGATTTAATACTTTAGGGAAGGTAATGCATCATGTGTCATTTCATAACAAATATTTATTAGGACAAGAGACCATAAAATATTTCATGGTCCCTGTTACCACTTGGATGAGATATTGTAGTCAGGCTTGACCTGCTGGCCATGAATGCCAGTCGATTTCTGGCTTGACCATGACCCTGACCATCTATTAATAGCTCTACCTTGCCAGTTGCAGCTGATACCACCAGGCAGACCTTGCTGACAAAGGTGGGGCTATAAATAGCTTAGATATAAACGCAAGGGTGGACGTGGACGGTAACACGCAACTCAGTTTCTGTTCAAATGTGACTGTAGCTATGTTATTGTAAATCAGTGGGATTTGTAACAAATATCACAATTGAGTTCAAATAGTCTGGACTCTAAAGTGTTGAAGTAATACAGATTCAAATATATTATTTGATTAAAAAATGGTCAGGTTTTCTTTGAGAAGCTACTTCACCTGAAAACCTAACAGGGCAGTATACAATCTGATCTAATCCCATATTTGTTAACTCTGGTTTCTCTTCACCTCGCATAAATCTTTCGCCTTTTACTAAAGATTTCCGTGGGGAGGAACAACTCAATGAGTCTTAAGACTTATTTTTTAAACCCTACTTTGTAGGGTACACAACTCAAACAAAGAATAGACCTAATTAGAGAAATTCACATGTTAGTTGTTTACTGCCGCACTCAGCAATATTCTATATATATGGCTGTCTGTAAGGAGAATAATAACTTCCTATTCAGACATTATTCTATTTGTCAATGTCATTAAAATCAGATCTTGCACTCCGATTTGATGTCTCTCTCTTTCCATCCGTTGGAAGTATGGTTCACTATCCTGCATGAGTTAAATTAAAAATGTTCTCAAAAGAGATGCTAAATGCCATTGGTTTGCTAATGTATACACAATTCTTAAATAAATTTAATAATAAAACGCAAATCACTGAGAATGTAATCCTATCAGGGATTTCATATCTAGACCTGCTCAGACGGAGCAAATGTCAGTAAAGAGTCCCAAATTGGGATTACACATTTCCCAATTTTATAATATGTTAATATTGTTCTTATCACTAATGTGAGGGCTTGGTCCAGGTTACATGTGTATTTCTCTGGTAACAGAGCCAGTAAATTAGAAGAGGCTTTAGTGTTAAAAAGAAAGCTAGACCTTCAGAAAATCCCAGTTCTAGATATCAAACTTTACCCAGATTCCCAAGACTCTATTTGACACTGACATTATACAATGAAAATCATGGAGAATACAGTTCAATTTGTCTTAAAATTCTCAGAATATGACACCATAGATGTTTAACATTGCTTAAAAATGCAATGAAAAAATAGTTCTATTGTAAAAAAAGTTCAATTTGGGGAAAGTAGTTTTGCAACATTCCAGAGGCCAAAAAATTAAGTCATTGAAATTCCACATGGCCATGCTATGCTAACATATTAGGCACACTTCTATGGTTACTTTAGGGTTTACAGTTCTTTGGCAATGCAATCAGCTTGGGAAGGTCAAAATCAAAATACATTTTGCAGTTTAATATGTATATTCATTTGACAAAACATTCTGTTGAATCCATAAGGCAAATATATAAAAAATAGTTTCTTTATTTCAAGCAGAGCACCCCCACACAAGAATTACATATAGTCTCATGTTTCACTTCAGAGCTTATTTATAATATTGATATCAGATGATTCATAATATTCTGGTGAAGTATACCACAAGTAATGAAAATCTGCTCCAGACAGCTAAAAAGATATCCAAGTTAAAACTTCAAATGACTGACACAATTGTGGTATTACAATAAAATGATACAAATTATGTTTTAAGAATTTCCACAATGTTATCAAAATTAAATAATGTCCTTATTAATTCAGATAGTAGATACAAAGGACAAATGTACAAGATATATTATATTTCCTTATTTTGGAAGGTAAACTTTCTGTGTATTTCTTCATATAACATGTATACAATCACAAATATGTACCAGTATGTTCCACTGCAAACTCCAATGTTTGGAATTGATTTTTAAGTATTCTATCATATAATATTAATTATGTGCTAGTGATGCATTTGTCAGATCTTCAAACAGATAGGTATTGTATCTTGAGTAAAATATCTGATTTTAATTAGATTGTATTTTTGATTGATTAGGTACCACTCCAACATGCAACAAAAAGCAACTGTTTTATATTTAGATATAATAACTGGTTAAATGTATGGGCGGCCATCCGGCAAAAAAATACCAAGTGGAAATAAAGGACAAAAGTAAGCAATAATAGTCAAATCTAAGAAATAAATAATTAATGTTTCAAATAAAGGTCATTTTTTACATACAAAAAGTGAATTCAAAACACAAAACTATACCAATGAACAACACGCAAATGAAAGACGGCATATGTAAAAGTGTACTAAAGAACCTCAGTGCACAAAAAGGACTTCTAACTGCTAAAGAACAACGTTGACAATAAAGAACACCAGATGGCGCTGCGATTTGTAAAACATTCTGAGTTTAATCAGCTTGTTTGATGTATATGATATTCCAGGGTACTCAATGTATTATGTCATTCCTCTTGCACTCAGCATGTGATACCGAATGATAGTTCTGAAAAGTGAATGTTGTGCAAAAATATTGCAGCACTTGGTCTACTTCAGACTATTAGTTCATGACTATAATATTACTGAGAGATGTAAAATGTAAAATTTCCTTTGTGATGGTGTAAATGTAGCAGCAAATATTAACCCAATTTGAAAAAGAGACACTGCCAAGTACTGTCTGAGATATTGGTATGCGTAAAAAAACAGCAAATTTCAACACACCGACAAGAGTACTGTGCGACAATTTGTCCCTTTGTTGTTTCAAATATATGAATGACATAAATATAAGTTAAGTGTTAAATAAGTGTTTATTGAAGGTTGTGTACAAAATACATTCACTGTGACTAATTAGACATATGTCGGATTACACAGAGCATAATATTTATCAAAATGTGAAGTGTTTCTGGTGAAGATGACTGAATGCTGGTATATAAATGCAACATGTATCGATATATGATGTCAGAAGCTGAGTGCACGAGGAATGATGTAATACATTGAGCACTTCAACGTGCATTTATCATATACATTGAGGAACAAGCCGATAAATTGCAGCGCCATCTGACATTCTTTATTGTCAACGTTGTCTCTTAGCAGTTTTGTGTCCTTTTTATGCACTGACATTCTTTAGTACACATTGTTCTTTCTTTACATATGACGTCTATATCGTTTGCGAGTTGTTCATTGGTATTGTTTTGTATTTTGAATTCATTATTTGTTGGTAAACAAAGACCTTTATTTGTAGCATCCATTCTTTGTTCAAGACATTTGACTATTATTGCTTACTTTTGTCGTTTATTTCCACTTTGTATTTTTGCTACTGAATGGCTGCCCATATAAACATCAAAGCATTAAATTTTTATGGGCACAGCAAAAACCGAGACACAAACCCTACTCTCCCGAAAATGAAGTCAGTTAATACACAAATTTGTTGTTATCTCACTTTTATGTACCTTTCCAATTTGTTTATAACCATCTTCAAAACATAATGAAAGAAAACGTGATATGTTACAATGCTTATCTCACAATATCAGACTTCAAATGCTAGACTCATATTTGTATCATATTTTGGGTCCGTTTTGAAGCTGTGCTGTTTTTGGGCTTATTTCAAACTGCAAACCAACCACTTGGGTAATAACCTTCAATCTTAGGGTAAATTAAATATTATTTACTACGTATTCTGTTTCATTCAGTATTCTTACGATAAGCGGCTTACCAAAATAAACGTGAAATCCTCCCAGTTCCTTTTCTTGTCATCAGCTGAGACGAACATTTTTAAAGTATACCCTTCACAAATAGATTGAATCCAAAAGGTCTGAGCGGCCGTCTCACAAACGTTCTTTGTACACTGTCAAACCCTCAAAGCATGCAGTTAAAGAGTGACATATCATGCTTCCATGGACGCCGCCATACTTGACTAGTACTTTTGTTCATACTTCGTTTGTCCTTACCACAACCCCCAAACGAACAAAGCACCATCACTTTCCACTGTTAAACATCTATTCAAAGATACAAGGACATAGGAGGCACCCAATTTGTTTGATTTGTTTAGATATCATTGAATCGAGTAATTGAGATTACAAAAAAAATGATTTATATGCTTTTAAACGATTTAGTGACAAAAATTGATACCAAATCTATTACCATTTCAGTGTTTGATATCACTAAATCGTCTTTATACATATCACAAATTCGATACGTATTTGTTCATATCTAAAAATCGAATTCGTCTTATATATCAATACTTCACTTCTTGGTTCGACCCGTTACGATCCGGGTTAGAATTGGTCTTCAGCAACCCATGTTTGTCGTAAGAAGCGACTAAGGGGATCGGGTGGTCGGGCTCGCTTACTTGGTTGATGCACTCACTCTCAAAATACAGTAAATAGTGAGTGAGTTTGGTTTTACGCCGCTTTTAGCAATATTCCAGCAATATCACTCACTCATAATACAGTAAATAGTGAGTGAGTGATTTTGGCTTTACTCCGCTTTTAGCAATATTCCAGCAATATCACGGCGGGGGACACCAGAAATGGGCTTCACACATTGTACCTATGTCGGGATTCGAACCCGGGTCTTCGGCGTGACGAGCGAACGCTTTAACCACTAGGCTACCCGACCGCCCCCAAGTTAGTGATAAGAAAGGTGAAGCTGATGCAGTCACTTCCATTACAAAACTATGGCAGCAAATGGGTCCATGGTAGTTATCATACAAGAATGGAGATATAATACACTGGATAATCAAAGATGGATAAGTGTCAGATACTAGTGCTACATCAGGACCATATGAAACCAAGCTTTGCTCAAATATGGGTCTTCGGCGTGACGAGCGAACGCTTTAACCACTAGGCTACCCGACCGCCCCAATACAGTAAATAAGTCACAACAATATAATTGTCAGTCACGTGTTTGTGTGTTAATTTGTTAATTATCATCATAGGTTTCGCGACTGTCTACCATTTCACAAAATAAATAATAGATATCCCAAAATCGGTCATAAAAAGAATGAAATATTGATCAAATCTGCTCCTTCATACAATACATATTAAGATAGATCTGTAATAAAATGGATTTTAGACATAAAACATCATTTATTGATATCACATGAAATTAAATTTGTGATATCAAAAACTCATTTTGTGATATCAATAAATGACTTATTGATATCATAAAATAGGTAATGTACAAAAATAAAGTAAAACGACACATCATGATTTTAATGAGTAATATAAATAAATGGAATTCTGTTTACTCCTTCCATGACCAATCTCTGGCTATCGTTCATCCCATAAACATGATAAAGGGGCGGTCGGGTAGCCTCGTGGTTAAAACGTTCGCTCGTCACGCCGAAGACCCGGGTTCGTTTCCCGACATGGGTAGAATGTGTGAAGCCCATTTCTGGTGTCCCCCGCCGTGATATTGCTGGAAAACCATACTCACTCACTCACTCACTCACTCACTCACTCACTTATCCCATAAAACTTCATATAAATATGATGAATAAAGAATTTAACAAATACTATAACAAGTTCCTAACAAATTCGGACTCTGCAGTAAAATACATTCGTGGCCAACTCGTTCCATAATTCCATTACAGCATAGGTTTCCATAAGGATCGAGTTGGTCACAAATGATTCCGCGTAGTGCTATCCAAACTCCAGGCAGCGTTATAGGACTTCGACGGTTCCTTTACGAATGGCGAAGGTAGCACGCACTGAGGTGGAGCATGTATCGACCTACATTTTACTCAGCAGTTTTACCTAGGCGAGTTTGTTAGGATAGACTATTAGTTACACGGTTGCAGCATGAGGGTAGCTGTTATAGGAAGTGGGGCTGCTGGTCTGTGCGCCTTACGGCTTCTCAAGGAACACCCCCGGGGTTTCCATCCCGTGGGATTCGAGCTCAGTGCAGAGGTGGGCGGAACATGGAATTACACAGATAAAACTGGAACAGATGAACGAGGCCTGCCGGTTCAGTCTAGCATGTACAAGAACCTACGGTAAGTACATTATCGCAGTAGGAAATCGCGGATCGCGGATAAACTGTTCTGCTGTTCATAGCACTAATGAAACTTTGATTCAAGCACATGCAGTTTGTTTGTCTGTTAACTCATTTGTTACAATGTATAATGAATGTATCTTTTGTGTATAAGGGAAGCAGAACTGAGTTGGCAATATAGTTTATTGATAGCTACAGGTGCACATGGTCTACGTTGAAGGCAAACATATTCGAAGATCTCTAGCTACAGAGTTACCCAAGGAATGAGGTTACTGGGAGTTATCTCCCTTAGACCATCGATGACTATGACGTAAAGACATAACAAACTATTAACAAATGTCACAATGCATAACTTGAATGCGACAATGTTGTAAGATAAAGGGTTAATTGTGTTATCAACCGTGACGTCATACACATGAACAGAATTGATGACGTAACACGCATGTACCAAATCGGAATCCTGTTAAGATCCGAGGTTGAATAGGTCTTCAGCAACCCATTCTTGCCGTGTAAGGCAACTATGCTTGTCGTAAGAGGTGACTAATGGGATTGAGTGGTCAGCCTTGCTGACTTGCTAAATGCATGTCATCGTATTCCAATTGCGTGGATTGATGCTCATGATGTCAATCACTGGATTGTCTGGTTCTGACTCGATTATTTGCAGACTGCCATCATATAGCTGGAATATTGCTGAGGGTGGCGTTTAAACAACAAACAAAACAAGGAAAGAAATATAGATTTCAGATAATCTAATTTGATCACTGTAACTGTACCATTTTAGAACGAACCTTCCGAAGGAGATCATGGCATTTCCTGACTTCCCCTTTGACTCAAGTCTGCCGTCTTTCATCCAACACACAGATGTTGCCGAATACCTTCGGCGTTATGCTCAACACTTTGACCTCTACAAATTTATCAAGGTAAACCTGTAATGATGGATTTACAAAGATTGAGTAACTGTCGATGAATGTCTGTATATAGTAAAGGAATCACATCAACATGCCTATAGCAACAAAAACGAAATGATGTATTAAATCATATTATATCTGTAACAAAGCAAAACATATTCAAATCAAACATTTCCGACTCCATACCAAATTTCCCACACATCAAACAAGAAATATCTGATTCATATTACATCGACAGAAATATATCATATTCACAATGTAAATACACACAGTTCATGACATTTTGGTCTCTGTCACCACCTATTTGTTTAAACCCATGAACTTGCACAATCCAACAATATGACACTGGAATAGTTGTTTGATATCATCTATACATGTATATACTTTGTAACTTGTATGTATTTAAGATTGCATGTGAACTATATTATGTAAACTTATTGTTTGTGTACTCCAAAAAGAAATAAAATCATAAAAAAACATGCCTATTTTAGTGAGACAGTTTTATGCTGAATTTAGTTATGTAGCATCACTATTACAGTGTAAAGGGCTCCATGTTTGAAGAAACTCCCTAAATAGGGAACCCTTGGAATAAGTCATCCATATGGATGATTACTAAGTATGTTTTACTGCTACTGATTTTAATATTGAATTTTTAGTATTAAAGGTTTCAGTATAAATTGTTTTCATCATATGTATTTCAGTTCAAGACATTGGTTGAACATGTTTCACCAGTGTGTCAACCAAACAACACTTCTGCCATCAAATGGAATGTGACATATTCTGCAGCAGACAACAGGAATGAGCAGACGACAGAAGAGTTTGAATCGGTTATCGTCTGCAATGGGTATTTGTATAAAGAGCGATGTCTTGTAAAGATAAGCTGGTCGAGGTTCCCTCGGCTGGAATTCCTACACTCAAAATGAAGATTTCATAGAGATGTAATCAGATAACATTTCTTTGGCTTCATGTCCATGTTGGAAAAAACCCAGCAGACTTGAACTTGTTATTCAATGGAAACTCAGGGAAGTAATCAATATTGGAAAATATTATGTTGAAGCCAAGTGGCATTTCTGAAGACATATATATTTGTATGTGAATATAACACTTGTATATTTTGATCAGGCACTATTCTACACCCCTGATACCCGACACCCCCGGGCTGGATGTGTTTGAGGGGGAGGTACTTCACAGCCACAACTACAGGACACCGTCAGCGTTCCGTGGGAGGAAGGTGGTTCTCCTGGGGGCGGGAGCCTCAGGGCAGGATATCTCTATCGACGTGAGCTCAGAGGCCAAAGAGGTATTTGTTGAGTCAAAATGAAATGTAGTACCTATATACAGTTTATGCAAAAGACAAGATAAGTTGGATGTGGTATTGTTGGGACTGAGGAGTGCAGTGAAAATGGGAATGGTTAATTTTGAATATCACATGATTCACGAAGCTCAAAAGTTCCATGGACTGTCCCAGAAATAATGTTACATCACCTAACTGAATATGCCTGTTGTCCCTGAACAAAGTCATTACAATAAGCAACATTACACTGTTTTATGTAGCATCACTTAATTAATTAGTTTTTATTGGGATTTTTCTTTCTTTTGGGGGGACTGACTTTTGTTACCTTTGAAACTTTATTAAGCTTTGAAATTCATGTGCCCAATGAAAAGTGCAGCATTGATAACTTCTCTGAAGTTAACTGGAGCATGCAGCTCAGATTAAGTGCATAAAGAATACGATCCCATGAAGATTATAAAGAGGTGCAAATTTAATTTGTATTTCAAAACATTTCAGGTAAGCTAAAGAATCTTATGACTCAGTGTATTGACATGTTGCAGTATTTATTCTAACATAGCTTATAATTAAAACAATCAAGGAGTAATTAGCTTCACGATGACATGTTATTCTCTCGTTATCCTCATCTCAAATTGCTTTACAGGTGTTCCTCAGCAGCAGAAAGGCGCCATTACAATGTCAGTTGCCGGAAAACGTTCATCTAGTTCCTGGAATAAAACATTTAAAGGAAAAGTCGGTTGTGTTTGAGAATGATCAGGAAACAACGATCGACTCTCTTCTCTTCTGCACTGGTTACAAGTACACCTTCCCTTTCCTTGACCCCAAAATAGGGGTCAAGGTCGACGAAGACCAACGAATTACTCCCCTTTACAAGCATTTAGTTCATTCCAAGTTTCCATCTTTGTTTTTGATTGGTTTCTGCAAAACTGTTTGCCCTTTCCCACAATTCCACGTTCAGACAAGTACTGTGATGTCTATCCTCAGCGGAAAAGTTCAACTGCCGTCAAGGCAGGAGATGGAGAAGGATGAAGCCGATGATCTTGCCGCACGTATGGCACGTGGGTTGCCAAGGAGACATGCACATGAGATGGGTCCTCATCAATGGGAATACAATGCCCAGTTGGCACAGTTAGGAGGATTCCAAGATCCCATTCCAGTCAGTGTGAAAAACATCTATGATTATGTACATCGAACAAGGGTTAAGAATTTGATTGGATATAAGAAAGAAAAATATACACGTGTCGGAAACGATATCTCCCATGTTGCGGCATGAAGTGTTACGGAAATATGTGAATACATGTTACTTTTTATAAACAAACTTTATTCTTGTAATGCAATATTTGGTAATATATGTGTATGTACAATCTATTGATGCTCTTAAAAGATGACATTATGGCTGTACAACTGAGAAAAATACATTCTATATACTCTTGCAGGAAAGACGTATGTAGAGCCCTGAATCCTGCAGTGGAATAAAAATGTTTATGTCAACTGATAAGTGTATCCACCCATTGCCAATGAAATCAACATACTTTCCATATATCATACTGGACAATATTTAGCTAATGTTTTTGGCAATGAGAAATGAGGAAATACTGATTTAATATCAATACCTTTGTATGCAGGATATTACCTTTTGAATATTATTGTATTGTGGACCGATGACCTATATTATTAAATAAATTTATCTGTCTGAAACCAATATTGGACTAAAGATTCTCTTTGAGGAACACGGTCCTGTGATTTGACCGTGTAAAATCTTATAAGGTGTGAAAAGACATTTCAGGAAATGTCAACTTGTCTGTCGCATACCTTTCTTTTGATTGACACCATTCACACGGGTATATTTGTAAAATAACCACAGTCACTTTTGTGTACAAACCGTCACTTAGTTCTAAATGTACTTGTTTTGTCTATGAGATCACCGTGAATTTTGTCTACGAGTTAGAAGTGGACACGAATTCTCCATGGCTACAAATTGGTTTTCTTAGGCATTCACCTACAGCAAATTTGTAGCCATTCCCCACTCGCAGACAAAATTAACAGTGAATTCGTAGACAAACCAGTAGTGAATTCATAGACACATTTTATGCTTGATTATAATAACTATGTTATTTTGTTGTTATTTTGTTTTGATGGGATTTGCAGGATTTTTTCTAACTACATGTACTATTATAAACAAGCATGAAATACTCACATCCCCCGCCAGTATGACATGTCGGGTTGTATGCAATGCATTAGCTCATGTAAACTATGTTCACTGGGCCTTTTTGTAAATGGCCTAATTGCAGCACTAAAAAAAAGTTATTCCTGGTGTTGTTTTTCCATCTGCAGTTTATGATGGAATATGTTACTGAATTTGTAATGAGTAAGGATGAGACATGGACAAACAACTTCTTTATTACAATTAGGAGCGATGGTTTCGGTGTAGGTTCTAACACCATTATCAAGCAAGTGAAGTACAGAGTATGGTTGACAAGAATATATATTGTTTATACAGTTGAGTAGGTTTAAGATCAGTTACACTGTTGTATTTGTAATGAGTTGTGTTTCTGTATGAAGTTAGTCAGTGAATGCAACAACTGTGTCCATGACACTTTTGGAGGAACATACACTCAAGCAATGCAGAACTTACCGACAAGAAAGGAAATGTATTCAATACTGTGAGATGACATTATGTGCCAAGTTTGGTAAAGAAATATAGTACGGTTTTCAAGATCTGCTCCGGAAACGAGGACCACCGCCATTTTCAGTCTAAATCAAAGTCGTTGCAATGGAAACCCGAAAAATAATTTGTTTAAAAATCCCAAACTATTGAAAGGCACCAGTTCACCACTAGACTTATCTATGTGCCAAGTTTGAAGAAATATAGTACGGTTTTCAAGATCTGCTGTGGAAACCAGGTCTACCGCCATTTTCAGTCTCAATCAAAGTCGTTGCCATGGAAACTCGAAAAATAACTTTTTAAAAAATCCCAAACTATCAAAAGGCACCAGTTCACCACTAGACCTATCTATGTGCCAAGTTTGATGAAGAAAACTAGTACGGTTTTCAAGATCTGCTCCGGAAACGAGGACTACCGCCATTTTCAGTCTAAATCAAAGTCGTTGCCATAGAATCTCGAAAAATAACTTTTTTTAAAATCCCAAACTATCAAAAGGCACCAGTTCACCACTAGACCTATCTATGTGCCAAGTTTGATGAAGAAATATCGTACGGTTTTCAAGACCTGCTCCGGAAACGAGGACTACTGCAATTTTCAGTCTAAGTTAAAGTCGTTGCCATGGAAACTCGAAATATAATTATCTAAAAAATCCCAAAGTATCAAAAGCCACCAGTTCACCACTAGACATATCTATGTGAAGTTCGGTGAAGATATCTCTCATGGTTTTTGTGTTCTGCTACGGAAACGAAGTGTGACGGACGGCACCCATCCCTATATCCCCCTTCCACTTCGAGGCAGAGGATAATGACCAGTAACCTTAGTTTGACCTGACCTATTCAGTTTCATATTAAGTTCTGTATCAAGAATGAAAACCATTGTGTGCTGAAGATAGATATTGAAGTATACAGGCCTGTTAACTCATGATATTCAATCAAATATCAAGCTCTCACGTCAAGACTAATTTTAATCTCAGCTAAACGACAATTCTAATGTAGAAAATGATCTTTAGCAGTGTGCACTTGAATATAGTTAGGCTTGGGTTTGGAAGCTCTGCCAAATTGGCAACGTGAATAAAAGTCAACGTGCACGTCTAGGTTTGGCATAGGAAAGAAACATCTCAATTTTCAGTTGTGGTTTTTAATGGTCAAGGGGAGGTAATCGTGTTTGTGCAAGAGCTAACTCCCTTGCCTTTACTCCGCACAGTGTCTCGCGTAAAACTTCACAAACGGCGTGTGCCCCTGATCAAAGGGAGCTAATCGCGTATAACAAAATCAAGAGTTATGTCCCTTGTGTGAAAGGGAGGTAAGTCTGTTTGGCAAATGTGAACGTGATTTACAGTTACCTCCCTTTGACCATCAACGGCCCGGCCCCTCAAATGTAATGTCTTTTCGATGTAGTATGTAGGTAACGGATTAAGCCGAGGGGAACAGAATGAAATTGAAATCATCAGTGCACGACCCAAGAAACCACACCCATGTCCACTCAGCATATATTCCACTAGCTACAAAACACTGATCCGTGCATGAAATCTTTTCCAGCGCGTCACTGTGGTTATTCTTTCGATATCATAACTGCCACTAAGCTGGTTCAGTTACGCGAGTTTAACTCAACTTTCGCGTTTGAATATTCTACCTTCATTATGCGATTCATTTTCTTCTGAAAATGGATGTGGCATAGAAACTAAAGCATCGCAAAGGACCACATGGTAGTCGGTAGTGATCGCGGAGCTCTCTGTACTATCGCGATCATTCGTCAACACTCGCCCCTTTCCGTAACCTGCAAGAAGACTCGTCCCCCTATCGATGAATGTTATGTGCGAAAATACGACAAACCAATCAGAATGCGCGTATGATTTCAAGTTCTTCATCAAAGAATCCCTCAGAAATAAGTTTTGATTTTACATATGTCCTGCATCTAAAAATATACCCAAGACACAGTTAAATGTGTTCAATCACACTGTATCATTCCGCACGTTCCGATGTGCTTTAAATTGCATCTGAAATATATATAATATATGGGGAAATATATGTGAACCATTGCGCAACGAGTTGACAATTGTTTTAGGTATGCCCGTTTGCGCTAAGACGGAACCCGGTTGCAAAAATGGCCATGAGAGGGGCACGAGTCGCTATTCGGCTTGTCCCGGAATAACACGAGTTGGTTTCGAATGTATCGCGATGTTACCGAGAGTTTATAACGAAGGTGTCACGCGCTGGGAAGGAGCTTGTCGTTTTATGGTCAAAGGGAAGTAATCGTGTTTGTGCAAGAGTTAACTCCCTTGCTCTAAACTCCGCACCGTGTAACGCTGAAAACTTCACACACGGCGTGTGTCCCCGATCAAGGGGAGGCAATCGCGTATAACAAAATCAAGAGTTATATCCCTTGTGTGAAAGGGAGGTAAGTCTGTTTGGCAAATGTGAACGTGATTTACAGTTACCTCCCTTTGACCATCAACGGCACGGCCCCTCAAATGTAATGTCTTTTCGATGTAGTATGTAGGTAACGGAATGAGCCGAGGGGAACAGAATGAAATTGAAATCATCAGTGCACGACCCCAGAAACCACACCCATGTCCACTCAGCATATATTCCACTAGCTTCAAAACACTGATCAGTGCATGAAATCTTTTCCAGCGCGTCACTGTGGTTATTCTTTCGATATCATAACTGCCACTAAGCTGGTTCAGTTACGCGAGTTTAACTCAACTTTCGCGTTTGAATATTCTACCTTCATTATGCGATTCATTTTCTTCTGAAAATGGATGTGGCATAGAAACTAAAGCATCGCAAAGGACCACATGGTAGTCGGTAGTGTTCGCGGAGCTCTCTGTACTATCGCAACGTTACCGAAAGTGTATAACGAAGGTGTCACGCGCTTGGAAGGAGCTTGTCGTTTTACGGTCAAAGGGAAGTAATCGTGTTTGTGCAAGAGTTAACTCCCTTGCTCTAAACTCCGCACCGTGTAACGCTGAAAACTTCACACACGGCGTGTGCCCCCGATCAAGGGGAGGCAATCGCGTATAACAAAATCAAGAGTTATGTCCCTTGTGTGAAAGGGAGGTAAGTCTGTTTGGCAAATGTGAACGTGATTTACAGTTACCTCCCTTTGACCATCAACGGCACTGATCCCCTTTTCTTTTCGATGTAGTATGTCGGTAGAGGAATAAGCCGGGTGTACCAGAATAAAATTGAAATCGTCAGTGCAGACACCACGTCCATGTCCACTCGGCATACATTCATCTTGGTCCAAAACACTGAAACACTGAGTGCATGAAATCGTTGATCGAGTTGTCTCCCTTTGACCGTTAGCCCCATTCGTGACCAACTCATACCATTCCGGGACAAGCTTTCTTGTAGGCTACGTAAATATAGACGCGAGTGGGGACGAATCCCTTACCCTAACAAGTTCCCTCCCAGCGCGTGACACCTTCGTTACTCTTCCGATATTATCGCCTGCCACAAAGGCTGAAGGGGTCTTTGTTGTATGAGGTAGAACTTCAATTTGCAGAAATCTATCCTACCACCAGTGCTAACAATCCCGAATACCATCTACATTGTACTTTATCACTCAGAGTCTAATTTGCAGACCCCTTAATCCCAAATACTATTTAACACAAATCTCAAAAGAACACCATCACTGCAAAACACATATTTTAGTCAAAACTATGAGCCAAAATATTCTCTAAGAAAACACACACATTGCAACAATGTAATTTTTGCATCTTCCCGAGGCAAGAGAGTTAAATGACTCTAAAAGTCCAGTTTCCACTGGACTTTTAAAGTCAGTTAACTCTCTTGCCTCGGGAAGATGAATTTTTGTGGCAGACAATAGCCTTTTTTTCCAACAATATAAAGCATAATTATTTTTTTCAAGAATTTCGGAGGCGATCTATTTTTGCCGATACAAATAACGAACAATAAATACACCATTATTTCTTGTAAAATGACTTTATATGCGTCCCAGATACATCACTGCTGAGTCCCGCACACCCTCTGATAGGAATCGATATTCACCCCCTACCCCCCGGACCCTGGTTCTCTAGCCTTGAACTGAAATAGGGTTGGAAGTTCTCAGCCTAAGTTACAGTTTCTGTACGGAAAAACAAACAATTCCAACATGCGCATGTCAGGCACAGATGGTTTCCACGTGATCTGTGGGTATGACGTGGCCTTATATAACCGTACAACGTATGAAAGGGCATTTCAGGGAATGTCTACTATGTACAGGCTCTATACCATACCTTCTTTTTGATTAATGCCATTCTTCAAAACAAACGTGTGTATGTTCGTGAAAGGACCACACAGCCAATTTCGCATACGAACCGTCAACTGGCCCTAACTGCGAGTATTAGCATCTGAATCAGACGTGTGGAAATTAACTGTGCAACACGTTTTGGCCTATATACTGACAATTTGAACCAAAACGACAATGGTTCTAACAATTATTAAAAACAATATCCAAAGAAATAACTTACTCATGCATATGTACCGGTATTGTTCCTGACATCAATAGTATCGTTTCGGAAAGGCGTGTGGGTAAACGAAAGCCACGTCTTGTGTTTTTCCTTTTGTGGACAACGGACAAAACATTTTCTCAGATGTAGGTATGGCATACAAGTAATATCTCTGCAGACAATTATGATAATGTAATAAACGTTTGGTAGTTTGTAGCTAATATATAACCTTTTCCATGTTGGCGTTGCTTGTTTTGTTTTTTTCATTTGCTCTGTACAAAGAGAGTGTATGGATACATTCATGAATGACTAGGAAAGATTTTGCTTAACTGTGTGTCGGATCTACTGCGATCAAAAATCATCTGTTACTGAGAACGTTTTACATCTGGTGAATGATTTAGTATGTATTTTTTTTATATACAAATAGTTTAAAACATAAAGTGATAAACATGACAACACGTTACACTGATAGGACATAAACATGCACCTATCGCTATACATCGTTCAGCGCCGCGCTGAAAATATGGGGTAAGGAAACCAATCCTGAGATTGACACGTACGGACCTGGGCCCCGTTGCACAAAGCGATCTTAGCGCTAAGACGATCATAACTCCCATACTTTAACATAGGCTTACCATAATCGTAGTGCTAAGATCGCTTTGTGCAACGAGTCCTGGACAAAAAAGGATGAGAGATTTTGCTGCGTCTTCTCCAGTTTACACACGCGTTTATTAAATGAGTATTACGCTTTCATCCCTTTACTGAAGTACAACGACTTCCTCTTGCAGAAGGGGCGGTCAGGTAGCCTAGTGGTTCAAGCGTTCGCTCGTCACGGCGAAGACCCGGGTTCGATTCCCGACGCGGGTTAAATGTGTGAAGCCCATTTCTGGTGCCCCCCACCCGCCGTGATATTGCTGGAATATTTCTAAAAGCGGCGTGAAACCATACTCACTCACTCACTTCAGAAACATATTCAAATTTTGACCTTATGCAAGTATTTATATTACTCAAACGTTATGTTCGGAAAATGAACTTAAATTTCCTTAATATTTTATTTGTACGGTAAATTGCTCAATTTGATTCACTTCATTAAGAGAATTTTATGCCTATTCTTGTTTATAAGTTGGTACTTGTATGGATGTTTTGTTATATACATGTACACTTCCGAAATTACATTTTCAGAATATGTTGGTGTGTTTAAAGGTAAATGGACACTGAGGGCACAAAAGCGGTCTTCTGGAATGTGACGGCTCTTTTGTTTATTACAGAACTTGTGGAGGTCGTGGCAAATAAATGTCACCCACTGTGATTGTAAAGGCAGAGGGTACAGATCTACGATTCCACGGCTAAACGTCCTCGGTAATAACAGACCCAGTTGCAAGATCACGTGTGGGGAAGATAAGATACCGAACGGAAGTAACCAGGTCTCGTGACTATGACACAGCAGAAGGTCGGATACAACTTGGTTGACAGTAGCGGATTGTTTCGCTTGAAGATAATCCTTTGATGTTTCCCCGAAGACAAGCATGTCAGTATGAAATTATAGACAAATATATAGCCTAGTAATTATATGCATATCAAACCATATTCTCAAAACTATCGATTGTTGGATGGTGCGAACACGGCTTTCGGGTTCCATTCCCTACATGGGTACAATGTGTGAAGTCCATTTCTGGTGTCCCCCACCGTGATATTGCTGGAATAGTGCTACAAGCGGCGTAAAACCATACTCACTCACTCAAAGCGGCGTAAAATCAAACTCCCTCAAATGTCAAAGTGAGTTCATGTCACGGCCTGTACATGCATGGCGTATGTTGTACAGAACGTGACACGGGGGATGCCTGCATGGATTGCCTCTGTTGACACATGAATATTTCCCTCGAATCAGGTCCGACAGTAGCGCTACGACTGTCGTAAGTCTATGTTAAAGTATGGGAGTTACGATCATCTTAGCATTACGATCGCTTTGTGGAACAGGGGCCAGGTCATTGGCTTGTTCGCAATAGCCAGGAAATAAGAGTGAGAACATTAGCCATGTTTATGTTTCTTAAGATCAGTTTTATATGAGCTAACTGGCGGAATGTCATGCTAATTGTACCAGGGAAATTGTATGATTTAATCCTCAAAAGAAATTCAAGAACACCGGATGTTTTCATATAGCTATAGTTAATCTGTCATGGCCATAACAAATTAACTGTAGTCACATGAAAACAATCGAAAGTTCCTTAACTTCTTATGAGTAGTATACATCGGTCGCCTTCACTTTCAGATAATGCTTAAATAATATTTTGTATATAGTACTCATATTGTCTGCACCTTGTATGCAAGCTGAGCTGATGTGAATACGTTTTCATATCAAAGTTGTTGGCAACGAACCTATTTAATGCAGGTCGTGTCGCTAGCATGTTGATTTGAACATAAATACATGCTTTAGTTATTTGTAGAGCTGTGTTGCCTTTACTTAGTCCCGATACATCAGCAGCCTAGCAATTCTACCACTTCTGCTTTCATTTAAATATAGTAAGGTACAGAAATGTCGCAAAGTTTGCTTTTAAACTAAAGTCACAGCGCAACCTGATCGACTTGTAATGTTGTTCGCTTAACGACTGTCCCGCGAAAGTGCGAAGGGTCTGTAGAAAAGTACTAACGGGCACCTGCAGACGACCTGACCCATGTTTCGTAAGTGTCATCCTGTTTTCAAGTGTCTCAGGTCTGTAGAGTTCTCCACTCAAGTACATTCTAGTTTATTGTCTCTACACAGAAATATGCCGATAAGAGTGGCCGTGATCGGCGCGGGTGCGGCCGGGCTCGGCGCCATGCGTCACCTGTTGGCCAGACCTGACGTTTTTGAGGGAGTTTGTTTTGAACAGTGTCCGCAAGTTGGAGGGACATGGGTGTACACAGACAGCGTTGGAACTGACGAATACGGACTACCGGTACACTCCAGCATGTATAAAAACCTCAAGTGAGTGCCAGATGACTTTGAAATATATACTGATATGCAATTATCGGCCTACCTTTAGAATACAGTACCACACACTTTTCAAACACGTGACAATACCCTATGACTTAATTTGTAGTATTTTGTTGCCAGTCACACCGGCGAAACAATGCCCTATGACGTCATGGGTCATCGAGTGTGCATAAGCTCCTCCGAATGATCTATCATCCCTACACACAATGTCATTGAATACGCCCAGCGGTGTTGAGAGTTTTGAATATTTGTTTACTAAATATAGCATGCTGCAGCAAGCGCTAGTTTACAAAAGCACTTCTATTTTTTATTCGTTTTATTCGTAATTCAAGTGGCTAAAATGGTTATAAATGGGAACTAATATACATATATTATTTTTTCGGTCATTAATATGCACAAGAATGTAGTTTATTAGGGATATTATATTGGCGTGAACACATCCAAATGTCAACAGTGTTAGGGTAGGTTACCCAAAACTCTATCCTTAGCCCTTTACGATCAATCAACCCTTTACGATCATTAGGGTTAGGTACACCCATTTGGTGGCTATTATAGATTCTTTAGCGGCTCCTAATATTCTTCACACAAAAACATCAAGTAAAAAGGATGAAATGGTTTTGTGTCAAATAGTTTGGCTACTGGAAACTGTCCTGGAACATTCACATAAGCCACTTTCACCGCCTACATTTTTTCAGTACTGATTCAAAAGTGAACTCACCGTTGTGTGATCGCTAGCCATGCTCATGCCTCCCTCGTTCCTCACTGTTATCCACATCATCATTGCAAAAATCACCCGACGAATTATTAAATACCATGTCATTCATGCGTACTCGCGAGTTCAACGTCTGACGTCTGACACCTGACGTCTGAAGCCTGGAGCCGTTTTCAGTTCTCGCCATATCGGCTCATTCCTCACCACTCGGTATCTTGAAGATTACTGAATGGTATGGGTGTGCCAAATGGCATTGGGATAATTCGTAAGTGTCCATAGACTAAAGTCACGAGACACCATGCCTACCCGTAACCTTCGTAAGTGTCCGTCACCTATTAGACAGTTTTCGTTCAGTTCCGTAAGGGCATAGGCTAACTAGGTAAATTTGCACTAAGTTCCACAGTGTGGATGTAGCTCAGTCGGTTAGCTGTCGGGCTAACAATCCAAAGGTAGCGAGTTCGCGTCCGATGGATTCTCACAAAAACTGGTTGCTTGTCTTTGAGACATGTGACCTACGGCAGAGATTGTCCTCTCGAGAAGTTGTGGTACTGGTTCTAAAGGTGCTCCCTTTATGAGTTACATCATAATGGGGTCTGATGTCACGACGTCAAAGTAATTCCACCATGATCTAACGTATCCTTGGCAACATTGTTCTTTCAATACTGTCATTACAAGATGGCCCATCCAAATTTGTTATCGGAGAAAAAGTTTCTTTAAACTTGTAGACTATTTGAATGTTATTACCTTGGCAGAAGTATGGAAAGATGAGTGCCAACAATCTCTCATGCCACAGCATTATCTCAAACATAATCAAACCACTGTGTCCATGCCACAGCAGTAACAAAATTGTCCGAGGCGGGCCTTGGTTCCCTACGAAATATGTATGTCTGTCAGGACAAAGGAATGAGCAATCCTTGAAAAGTTTCATTACCACATACATATACACCTGTTGCTTAGTGTACAGCATTTAACAATATACAGCAGTCAAACAAACCGGCTGCCCACATGTTCGTCCCACGTTGATGCCATATCACGCCCCAAGCTGTTGATTAACGTTGGTTACAGTTTCATGTTGTGCAACCAACATGATAAGCACACTGTTTCATGGTTTGCAGTTGCTGCAGTCTGCTAGCATTAGTGGCGGAAACAAAGTTGCAAGTTGTACAACAGAAAATACCTAAACTCACAATTACCAGTGACACCGAACATCAACATCGGCTATGTGTACATGTTAGATCGGCCTGACAATGCACTTGTGGAATGTTTTGAGTCTTGTGATTATATTCAAGCAAATTAATATTAAAACTTAAATTTAAAAATCCTTATTGCAGCATGAGTTTATGCATAACCACACACTGAAAGGATAAGGAAATATGACCTATTTAAATAATACACAACAAATTTTCGTGGTGCTGAATTATGTTTAAAACATAAATATGTCTCTTAGCATAAGGTTACAGGCAATCAAGTGGAACAGCCCGTCAGTTAGCCCTGTTCGAGGATTTTCAAGTTATGGCACGTTTAGTACAGATTTGATTTTAAACCCTTCTCCAATAAAATACTTGTTTAGTTTTAAATTCGGCACCTTAGAAAGTCTGCTCTACCCCCATGTGTAGCGTAATAAAGTATAGTTTTGCCCTGAACTATTATAACCTCAAAGCACTCGGACACAAGCTTTAATATTAATACAAAACATACATAAAATCTTCTCTGACAAATTACAATACAAAGTACATCTACATAGAATGTTAAAAAAAGATATTTTACTTTCGTATAAATTTTGTACCATTTATGAAAATGTAATTAGTGGCTCACCCATACTGGTCCCGACTTTATTATTTAGAGGCTATCGCCATATTGCTGAGTTTGGCAATAAACAACGAACAATTGAAATGAATTCTTCCATATGTCTCACATCTATTGGAGAAAGAAAGTGCTCCGGAAAATTACTGATAAATTTTGTATTTTAAGTGTCAATACATATATGTTTTCAGAATTACATCAAGTACACCAGCTGGTCTGAAATCACATGTACGTCTCCTAATTTTGTCTCCCTGATTCCCAACAAATCCCATCTCTAAGAACCTACACAGCTATTGTGTAAACTTAGGGAGGTGAAGGCTAACGCTTATACTAAATGTTTTGCGATGTTCTTGTTCCAGGACAAATCTGCCCAAAGAAGTAATGGCATTTCCTGACTTTCCTTTCAAGGAAACCCTGCCATCTTTCATATGGCATCACGATGTCCTGCAGTATTTACAAGAATACAGCGACAACTTCAAGATCACTGACAAAATCAAGGTACAGTTATTTGAAAACAAACAACACATCACATGGGCGGATACAGCTTTTTTGAAAAGGGGGGGTGCACAATTAAGATCTATTTATTGTCTTTGGTGGTAATTTATACAGAAATAAAGATTTTTTTCGAAATAAAAAGGGGTGGGTGCACCCCCGCACCCCCCTTCTGTATCCGCCCATGCATCAGTCTAAGGTTTATTATTATTCACTTGTCATGAAATTAACATTTAAGTTTTCCTCCCCTAGGTCTGTTTAAAAATAAACAATTATCTTCACCTAATTTCATGTCAGTTAATTTTTGAAGATTTAATTTTTTTAATATAATTTTTACATTGAACATAATAATAATAAGGTTTTTAATTTGAACAAAAACATTAATAGAAGGAATTTCTTAATTAGAAATGTCTGCTTCAGTACTTGTCTCTATTTAACTTTACCTGAGACAAGCATGTTTTTCATATTTTCTTATTTAAAATGAAAGTGAACATATTATAGAAACATATGATTCTGGTGCTAGGATTGTTATTTACCAATAAGCCTAATGCACCGTCCACCACATATGACACTGCTTCAGTTTGTCATGTGTAGAAGGTCAGTGACCTCATAAATTACAAATGACCCAGCATTTCCTAGCAATATGGGTCCTGTGGCCTGTTACTTCTGAAACATTAGTGATGTAACGATATGTCCATATACTTGTTAACTGGAGTACATTTTACATTAGATTTCAATACGATTTTAAACATGGACCATCATTTTCACCCTCACATATTTGCATTGATCTAGTACACTGATGTTAGGAAATTCCTCACTGGTAACTCAATGGCTCACTCAACAATGTTTACCAGCCAATTGATGGACTTAACATTGTCCTGTGAGTGAGTGAGTGAGTGAGTGAGTTAGTGCTACTGAGAACAGTTTTTCAGCTGTGTTAAAGCGTTCAGTTTACTGTGTGAGGAAATCCTAAAGTGACCAAGGTTTGGGACATGCACCACTTGTCTGATACCCAGAAGCAGGTATCTGGTGCTGACAAACCAAGGATCATAATCAGGGCAACACTCGGATTTGAACCAACAATCATCAGAAGCAACTCTGCACAGCAGTTTCTGGTGGCTGGGCCACTCGAAGCCCTCTCGTCTTAAGAAGTCACCTACATTGACCAGGCTGACAGTGAACACAAAAAAGACCTTCAAATCTTAATTCTTGAAGAAAGATGCTTTGTTTATGAAACTGAAAAAACCCATTCCAACAATGACTTTTTTCTCCCCACTTGCAGTTTCAGACTAGAGTAGATCGTGTACATCCTCTCAAGCGAGACAAATCGGAACCAAAATGGGAAGTGGAGTTTAGTGATGTTCTCAATGAAACCACCAAAAAGACGGAATTGTTTGATGCAGTTATTGTTTGTAATGGGTAGGTATGCCATATGGTATAGATTCATGACAGTAGGTCTAATTAAAACGACAAACACAAACTGTTTACATGGGAATGAGTAGCTAACAGCTGGTGATTAAAGTACATATGCTGATTGTATGCTCTGTATCAGGCCTAGCCCTCCTATCCTGTTGAATAAAAAAGTGTTGAATGGATTTAAAATGAAGGCATATTGGTAGCATAGCTTCCATATTGGAACCGAATGCATTTTAATGCGAACAAAAAGAAACGCTATCGGATTTGACAGAGGTCGTTAGCTGAATACATGCACAGCTGCTATGGGAAACTCAGTCAAATGAAACGGAATAACTTTAGCTGTATCTGTTAAAAGCTGATTGTAGTTAATTGACAACACCTTTTCCAGGAAAACAGCATTTGAGAAATGGCAGCGATAAACAAATAAGCGACAAGCAAAGTAATTTCTTTTAGTTAGTCTCACCTAATGTCTAGACTATGAATAATATAATCCACTGCATTGACCAGTTAGTATTCATATGCATTAGAATTAAAGTGGGAAACATGTTTTCTTGTATCAGTTGTTGCAAATAAATGGGCCGTAGTCAGGTATGCTCTGAACACGCTGAAGATGTCTCACATCTTGCCCATCCCACCAGATCCCAGCCATCTTGGCAACTGTGTGGTAGCCAAAACACACACATGGGATCTGGTAGTGGTATATGTTAATAAAATACATATAAATTAAGATTATTGTTTAAGTGCCTCTCAGCCACAGACAAACTCCTTGCTGTTGACATTGACTGACAGATTTTATTATCAGCCCTGTTATATCAACAATTATTGGGCAAATACGAAATCTGGCTCTAAGATGTGAACAGTGAACTAAATTATGGGTAAAGTAATTTATCTAGCTCTTTGACTGATAAGCTTTCCATTCGACTCCTATCGAAATACATTGATAATGCATACAAAATACATTTTTGCTGAAAAAGAATAATCTGTATTGAAGGGGAATTATGATTTACGTTCAATGCACATTAACTTCTTAATAAGAATTACACTCCCTGGAAACAAGCGTTGAGTGAAACACTTCCCAATTTTACTTTTCCGCTACTGCAAGGAGAATAAACCATGAGGGGTGCAGCCCCGACTGGTTTATTCTCACTGCAATGTTTTATTGGACGATAAACAATGACCACAAGTCGTGTATTTCTTACATGATATCAACATCATGTACAGCCTATTTAAGGATGTTGATAAAATGTACAAACTTTAAAAATATTTACCCAAATTTTAATAATGCTGACTCCTGAATAGAATCAGACCTCAGAAATGTTGGACAAGTCCATCTTACGAACGCGTGGGTGAAGTTGGTATTTCCCGCATATTCTCAGTTGATCATCTGTACCTGTTCTCTTAATACCGATTGTCACATCTCTCCCACTTTTCGATGCGATCATTCGGCCACTGCTTTAATCTGCGTAGCCTGGCTACATCTATGGGAATCAACAAACTGGGCACTTCCCTCTCAAAAATAACATTGTCCAGTATGTGACGTCATCAAGTTGCGATCGAATATTCGAATACATCATGATAGAACAATGTTTTTTCGTGAAATAAATCATGCTTTGTTCTTCACTGTTCTTTACGATTTATCGTGTATCTATCTTATATATATATAAATATATAAAGATATTTTCAGTAATTTCAAATCAAATCGCAACCTTTCATTAACTTTGGGTTTTCGTTCTGTCGTTGTCGAGTGAATTCTGACATGACTCTTTGAGATTTGTGTTAAGTAGTATTCGGGATTCAGGTGTGACGGGATTCATGGGAGGGGGTTTTGGCGCCTTCCTATATTATTTGTAGACAGAGTGAGCGAGGAAGTATGGTTGTACGCAGATTTTAACAAACATTCTTTTCAAATTATGGCAAGGGGACTTCACCCATGAGGGGATTTGAACCAGGGTCATCTGCATGATGAATGAACACTTAAACACCTCAGTCCCTGTTATAGTGAACAGGACAAGTGACAAGATATAATTGAAATAAAGGTTAACATGGAACACTTTTGTATCATCACTGGTCACTCCATCTTATCTAAGGCATAGCCAAATGTCACAGTCTGCATTAAATACATGTTTGCATAAAATAGCCTCTGAAATTTAGCGTCTTGGGTAGATTTACCTGGATGTTAATTTAGGCTATGTGGTCGATTAATGATGTTTAACTGGAAAAAGCCTGCAGCTGTGCTTTGAACAACAGTAATTTCCACTAGGCTGAGAAGAGGAGTGGGAGTATGTACCATCGCTGGCACTGGATCCTAGTCCATTGACCTGGGCTGGAATCAGAAAGAAATAGAACTCATTTAGTCACCCCAGAATGTACAGGGGTGGTGGAGGCAAATTTGCTGTGCAGAGTTACATCCCTTGCATGCCAGGATCCTAGCATGGGTTTGAATCCGAGGTTCTGCCTGATTATGTTTCTAGGTTTGGCTGCACCATACATGTGCTCATGGGTTTCAGGAAAGTGGTGAAAATCTTAGACCTGCATCACTTCCGGCTTTCCTCCCACATCAAACTGACATGCCATTATGTTTGTTTATTTGTTGTTTAACCCCCAATCAGCAATATTTCAGCTATATGATGGCAGTCTGTAAATAATCATGTCTGGACTAGACTGACCAGCGATTGACATCATGAGCATCGATCCACGCATTTTAGATGTGATGTCATGCATCGACCAAGTCAGAGAGCCTGACCACCCGATCCTGTTAGTCGCATCTTATGACAAGCATAGTCGCCTTTTACGGCAAGCATGGGTTGCTGAGCACCTATTCTACCCATTATGTAACTGAGATACTGTTGAAAGGGGTATTAAACAAAACTCACTCACTCACTTCATATGTGCAGATAATTTCTGGCTAAAATTAGTTTGTGCTACACTGTGTTTCATGTTCAGTGGTTTGTGTTAGCATTGAAAAACCTCATGGTCAGTTTGGAGGACATGGAAAGTAATCAAAGCGGCAGGTATGCACATAAGAATATGTACTTGTTGAAACCAACTTTATTTCCCTCAAGACCAGTGATTTGCTTTGACAATAGAATAGAATAGAATTTTATTGTACTAAAACACCTACTTGGGACCTGGTACAAAAATAGAGCATTTATGTGGTACAGAGATGAGAATATGGTACATATACACATAAAACCCTTACTTGTATCATTGATCTGAAATGATCAGAATCATGTTTAACTACAATCCCTTCACACTATCAAACACATGTTTTAACATAAAGTTGCAGAGACTATGTAAACTGAAATGTAGTGAAGTTCATGATTGACATGTTCCAGGCATTATTCCATTCCCTTGTTCCCGGACATGCCAGGCCTGGACAAGTTCAGAGGTCGTGTGTTTCACAGCCACGACTACCGGGAGCCTGATTCCTTCAAGCATCAGCGTGTCGTGTGTCTTGGTGCTCAGTCATCTGGCATGGACATCATGGTGGAACTAAGCACTGTTGCTCACACAGTAAGCTCAACTAGACATGTGTAACAACTTATTCCATAGTTCGTGGAAAGAAATTAAATATTAGATATTTAATTATTTTTTTTATTTAAAACAAATCAATAATAAATGAAAAAAGAAACTGCAAGTCAGCAGGGACAGCTGATGATGAAAAAGACTGTCCCTCCAAATGTTTCAACTGCTGTATATATGATGTGTACTGGTACATATAGAATATATTTGGTCCCATTTGCCTTGCCCCTCTGTTATTTCTGCAGGCCAAGGGCAAAGGACCAGCAGTTGATCCCAGCATATTCCTCCTTTAAAAACCATCAGCATCTTGTTACTTATGAAATTATTCACAGGGCTTGTACAGTGTCGGAATATGAAGTATTAAGGTGATTAAACTACAATGTCACAACACAGGCTAAGGCAGCTGCAGATTCTACAAAGACAAATGATTCGGATGAAACTAAATTTGTTTGATAGACAGTAAAATGGTCCCTTTGAGGTGGGACACACTCCATCATGGCCTTTTGAACTTTTGACCTTTGACCTTTGACCAAAGTACCATCTTCATGATGCAAGATTCCTTATGTAGCTTATTGTGAAAAGTAGTTTAGACCACTGTGAAGAACATTTCTCTTGTAGGTATTTTTTTAATTTAAATGGTTTAAGGGTCCGTTGATACCTGATGTCACAAATGTATCAATAAATTAAGATCTTGAGAGTCACTGAGCCACTGAGTTGGTTAATTAGTCTCAGTAATGAAATATTCTACACCATCAGTAGTGAAGTAACCAAAATAATTTGCCTTTTTTGACCTACAACTTTTAAGGTATCATTTAAGAAAACAGATTTTACAATGACAATTGTATTTTGATAACTGACACATAGGCATGGGAAAATCCACAATCTAAATTATTAAACAATGAATGCACATGTTTGATGCAATCCTTCTCTATTGCAGGTGTTCATCAGTCACAATAAAGCCCCCATAAAATCCAAACTACCTCCCAACGTAGACCAGAAACCTGGGATAGCCCGCTTCACAGAAGATTCAGTTATTTTCTCCAACGAAGAGGAACAAAAGATAGACTCTGTTGTCTTCTGCACAGGATACAAATACACCTTCCCATTTCTCTCTGAATCTTGCAATATCAAGATAGAAAATGAAAGAGTTACCCCCCTTTACAAGCATATAATCCATACAGAATTTCCGTCACTGTCTTTTATAGGAATTTGCAAAGTTGTCTGCCCCTTCCCACAGTTCCATTTTCAAATTCTTGTAGCTCTATCAGCATTGGATGGATCCTTGAAGTTGCCGTCACGGCAAGCTATGGACCTAGACACAGAGATGGATTATCAACATCGCCTCTCCGAGGGGCTGCTTCCTCGGTATGCACACCACATGGGGCCGAGGCAGTGGGCATATAATGATGAACTCGCTGACATGGCCCAGTGTCCGAGGCTGGATCAACAAGTGATGGATCTGTATAACATTGTGCATGAATGGAGGGCGAGAGATGCAGCTACATACAAGAAAAAAAATGTTGCACTTGTAAAAGCCTGATTAATCCAGAGCTGTAGATAACTAAATGGTTGCATATATGGCCTTTCAAGTCAAGGGAAATGACTGTGATCCTGTTAAATGCATATTTTTATTAATTCTGCTGTATACATTGAATGATTTTATAATGGTTTATGACATGTATGCATAGATGATTATGCAATGAAATATTTTATTCTAGTCCTTATACACAATCATTTGATGTGTTTGATTGATATAAAATACTATTCTTTATTAAAGTTTTCTGTTTGAATCTTGCTTATGCATTCTCTCACTTTCTGTGGGAGCAGGATAGGGGTTGTCAGTCAGTGCACTGGGTTCACAATAGCATCAGCTTGAAACTGACTAAGTGACGGACTGTTGCCTTATGCTGTAGTCATCAATATTATGGCTATGTCTGCACCTGAAAGTCAGAATCACACAAACTTGGGATTAATCGCATGAGGAAGGATCAGGGCTGTCAGAGAGAGATAATATTAGCCAAGTTACCACCTGATTCTCATTTGAAGTCATCTCTTACACCAAACCTGGGAAACTTAGAACATATTAAGAACAACTCTCAACTGTCAGCAGCTGGTTTGCTGTATATCTGTAAGCTCATGGAATGCCTGGCCTTGCCTTATGTGCAGTGTCTGCCAGTGGAATGCCTGTCCTTGCCTTATGTGCAGTGGAATGCCTGTCCTTGCCTTATGTGCAGTGTCTGCCAGTGGAATACCTGTCCTTGCCTTATGTGCAGTGTCTGCCGGTGGAATGCCTGTCCTTGCCTTATGTGCAGTGTCTGCCAGTGGAATGCCTGTCCTTGCCTTATGTGCAGTGTCTGCCAGGGGAATGCCTGTCCTTGCCTTATGTGCAGTGTCAGACAGTGGAATGCCTGTCTTTGGCTTATGTGCAGTGTCAGACAGTGGAATGCCTGTCCTTGCCTTATGTGCAGTGTCTGCCAGGGGAATGCCTGTCCTTGCCTTATGTGCAGTGTCAGACAGTGGAATGCCTGTCTTTGCCTTATGTGCAGTGTCTGCCAGTGGAATGCCTGTCCTTGCCTTATGTGCAGTGTCTGCCAGTGGAATGCCTGTCCTTGCCTTATGTGCAGTGTCTGCCAGTGGAATGCCTGTCCTTGCCTTATGTGCAGTGTCTGCCAGTGGAATGCCTGTCCATGCCTTATGTGCAGTGTCAGACAGTGGAATGCCTGTCCTTGCCTTATGTGCAGTGTCAGACAGTGGAATGCCTGTCCTTGCCTTATGTGCAGTGTCAGACAGTGGAATGCCTGTCCTTGCCTTATGTGCAGTGTCTGCCAGTGGAATGCCTGTCCTTGCCTTATGTGCAGTGTCTGCCAGTGGAATGCCTGTCCTTGCCTTATGTGCAGTGTCTGCCAGGGGAATGCCTGTCTTTGCCTTATGTGCAGTGTCTGCCAGGGGAATGCCTGTCCTTGCCTTATGTGCAGTGTCTGCCAGTGGAATGCCTGTCCTTGCCTTATGTGCAGTGTCTGCCAGTGGAATGCCTGTCTTTGCCTTATGTGCAGTGTCAGACAGTGGAATGCCTGGCCTTGCCTTATGTGCAGTGTCAGACAGTGGAATGCCTGTCCTTGCCTTATGTGCAGTGTCTGCCAGTGGAATGCCTGTCCTTGCCTTATGTGCAGTGTCTGCCAGTGGAATGCCTGTCCTTGCCTTATGTGCAGTGTCTGCCAGGGGAATGCCTGTCTTTGCCTTATGTGCAGTGTCTGCCAGGGGAATGCCTGTCCTTGCCTTATGTGCAGTGTCTGCCAGTGGAATGCCTGTCCTTGCCTTATGTGCAGTGTCTGCCAGTGGAATGCCTGTCTTTGCCTTATGTGCAGTGTCAGACAGTGGAATGCCTGTCCTTGCCTTATGTGCAGTGTCAGACAGTGGAATGCCTGGCCTTGCCTTATGTGCAGTGTCTGCCAGTGGAATGCCTGTCTTTGCCTTATGTGCAGTGTCTGCCAGGGGAATGCCTGTCCTTGCCTTATGTGCAGTGTCTGCCAGTGGAATGCCTGTCCTTGCCTTATGTGCAGTGTCTGCCAGTGGAATGCCTGTCCTTGCCTTATGTGCAGTGTCTGCCAGTGGAATGCCTGTCCTTGCCTTATGTGCAGTGTCTGCCAGTGGAATGCCTGTCCATGCCTTATGTGCAGTGTCAGACAGTGGAATGCCTGTCCTTGCCTTATGTGCAGTGTCTGCCAGTGGAATGCCTGTCCTTGCCTTATGTGCAGTGTCAGACAGTGGAATGCCTGTCTTTGCCTTATGTGCAGTGTCTGCCAGTGGAATGCCTGACCATGCCTTATGTGCAGTGTCTGCCAGTGGAATGCCTGTCCTTGCGTTATGTGCAGTGTCAGACAGTGGAATGCCTGTCCTTGCCTTATGTGCAGTGTCTGCCAGTGGAATGCCTGTCCATGCCTTATGTGCAGTGTCAGACAGTGGAATGCCTGGCCTTGCCTTATGTGCAGTGTCAGACAGTGGAATGCCTGTCTTTGCCTTATTGGGCAAGTTGATTGAAAATTTGAAATACTTCGAAAATATTTGTCTTCGCTTTTTCAGCGGAAATTTGACTCTCTGAACTATCAGTATTGGATAGTTCAATCCCGAGCGAGTCTGTTGTAACAGAGAAAAACAGCCTTGAAATGGCAAGGGTGAAAACTTAGACCATGGATCTGCACCCGGATTGAAGGAAAGTCAGTTGGCACTGGAAGAGCCAGTCCCTGTTGCAGTGTCTGCACTTGTAGAGTGAAATGCAAACCTGCTGGAGTTGTACTCTGGCTGTTCTTCCATCGAGTCTGTTTTTTCCTTGGCGACTTGGCCTTGCCTCTCTTGAGCTCCTGCCTCCATTGTCCGCGATCGGCTGCGAGTTCCACCCACCTCGTGACATCCATGTCCAGTGCCCTCAAGTCCCTCCTTTGAAGCAGAGGTTGGGATGTCCACATGCCATTTTGCCGGAGGTAAGCTCGCTCCACAAGAGGTCCTTCAGGTGCCTCCTGTCCCCCATGTGTTGGCCAGCGAAGTCAGAGCTGTTGAGCAGGGTGAAGAGACTCATGGCGTGGGAGAGAACTTCAGTGTTCACGTCTCAGACACTCTCAACTAATTCCAAGGAAACACCTCAGGCTGCAATGAGTTCTTTTCTTGTTTGGAGGAGAGGGTCAAGACTCTCTGCTATATAGCTTTGTTGCTGAGGAAGCAGGCTCTGTAAACAGCAATCTTGGTGTGGGTACTGTTCTCGGGTAGCCTAGTGGTGAAAGAGTTCGCTTGTCATGCCAAAGACCCGGGTTCGATTCCCGGCATGGGTACAATGTGTGAAGCCCATTTCTGGTGTCCCCTGTCAAGATATTGCTGGAATATTGCTAAAAGTGGCGTAAAACCATACTCACTCACTCACTAATAACTATATGTTAAAATATATACAAGAACTCTATGCCCAACTGTGAGAACACTTTGTGAGTCAGCCCGGCATTATGCATGTGAAATGTGTTCCCTGAGCCTTTCACACAAGTACCTCGCTCTTTGGCAACTCAGGGTAGGAAATGCATGTACTAGGACCTGTAATGATCCAGGTAGAATAGGTCTTCAGCAAACCATGCTTGCCGTAAAAGGCGACTATGCTTGTCGTAAGAGGCGACTAACGGGATCAGGTGGTCAGGTTCGCTGACTTGGTTGATGCATGTCATCGTATCCCAAATGCGTGGATCGATGCTCATGATGTCAATCACTGGAATGTTTGGTCCAGACTTGATTACTTACAGACCGCTATCATATAGCTGGAATATTGCTGAGTGCGGCATTAAACAAAAAACAAACAAACAAACTAGGGCAAGTACACAAATCATCTGGGACAAACTCGATCACATTTATCAATCACCTAAATATTGCTTGCCTTTGTTAATGGGCCTATTATAAACATATATTGCCTTTATCAAGCTAGGAGTAATTTCTTTAATATCTGTTCATTTTTTTGAATGAAAAGCTACCAAATCACACATTCGCTATGCATAAAAGAACATAAAACACATATTTCTCCGTCCATAAACTGATTTACTGTTCGTCCTGATGTGAGAAAATATTTAGTTGTTTATTTCATAAACTTTCTTCCATCTCACCATGGCAGAAGACTACAGTGGTTAGTCTTCACTGCCGACCTCGTGGGTTTGAATCTCACTGGCGACACACTTTCTCATGAAATTGTTCCATCATCAAGGGAAAAGATAGGGAAATAAGAAGTACCATAACTGATGTTGGTTGCAATGTATCTTGAATTTGTATATAAAATATAACATGTAAAATGCGGAAACATCAGTTTTCTTTTGAATGCAAACTATTGGTCTTTGGACATCTGTTATCAGCTGTGAAAACAATATTTGGGTAGCTAGAGAAACAATGGGTCAGAGGGTTACCTGAAACATGCCCTTGTCTCTATTGTAGGCCTAGTGTCTTGACCCAGGGATACATGTTCATGAACGTGATCACTGTTTACCCAGGATACTGAGTACTTGTCTCAAGGGTACTGGTCACTAGGTCTCGGTCATCAGGTCCCAGTCTCTATATTGGATTTACTATTCAAATAATTGTTCTGCCCCCCATCGGTTCAGTCTGAGTGTATGCTCATAGATTCATATCACTACAGTGGTGTAGGGTATACTCACATCAGTTTAGGAAGCTATTAGTTTTGTGACTAATTGGTTAATGGATTGTGTTTTTAAACCATAAGGTGGGTGGTTGAAACAAACATGAAAAATCTATTACATTGCATACTTTATTTTAAAATATATATGATCTGTTGAAAATACCTGCCATGATCATTATTGAGGGGTCATGTAGATAATACAAGCGATAAAAAACTGTTGCATTCAACTTCAATGAGTACAGTTCAATTGCATCTGGAAGGAACCAGTTTTACCACATTGAATGTTACTAGTATTGCACATACGTCGACTAAAACAATGGTTGCATTCAGGCATGTGTTTTGGTTAGCTTTCCCATCACTTACAATCTTGCTCTTTTCATGTTTTTTATTAGTCACTGTCCATTTGCTGTTAATGACATGGTCAACATGCTCCGACCTATTGACGCTTGTTGGCATATGTTCATGCTTGATCCACTCCACACCTAGTATAGCCGAACTATTGCTGTTTATTTGTTTGTTGGTTAACGCCGCACTCAGCAATATTCCAGCTATTTGACAACGGTCCGTAAAAAAATTGAGTCTGGACCAGACAGTCCAGTGATTGAAATCATGAGCATCAATCTACGCAATTGGGATATGATGACATGCATCAACCAAGTCAGCGAACCTAACCACCCAATCCTGTTAGTCAGATCTTACGACAAGCATAATCACCATTTACGGCAAGCATAGGTTGCTGAAGACCGATCCTAATTTGGATCTTCATGGGTGGGACTTTTGCTGACTGCAATGTGTACCATTAGGAGACAATAGCTAATCTGATGTTCACAGATCTGTCTTATGATTTAATGACGTAATTTAACTTCTGTAATGCAAATCAAATATGATGGAATCACTTGCAATGTGTTTACAAGAGTCATCAGGGGATGACATCTCCCCCAGGTCTGGGGCAATTCCAAAATGGAGTTTGGCTACTTTTACCACACTTTTGGTTCATTGCCATTGGATACCTTCAGTTCAGTGAAGAAAAAGATAATGCTGTTTAGTATTTTTACAAATCCCAAATAATCAAAAGGCACCAGGTCACCACTAAACTGATCTGTATTGCAAGTTTCAAACATTAATATTCCACGGTTTGGGAGTTCTGCTCTGGAAACAATGGATAATTGGCAGAGAGAAGGACAGAGTGCAGCCTGCCAACAGACTTTACTAAACGAAATGTTATTACAGGGAAAGGCCAGTGCGCATGTCTCCTGGCTCATCATACTAGTTCTACAACTAGCTACAGTCATACAACTCCCATTGAAGCTAACTGCATACAGTTGTTTACATCAAGTTCACCTTTACTGAAATTTCTGATCATACTTAGAGTCTCTGATCAGAAAACTGCTAGAGAACTATTCCTTACTAACATTACTTATTTAGTATATGTACTTTAAAGACAAATACAATCTTAACAAGTATTTGTCACAGAGTGACGAAATATCCCCCGCCTGTACACCATACTACCAAATATGAAGACAATCCAGCGATTAGTTCTTGAGATATTGTGGCAACACCGTTTTCCAACTCCAAAAACAGATTTGCCTGCTGTGAACTTGAAAATGGGGTCAAGGTCACCAAATCTGACAGGTGTATGCCGTGTCTGTATATACACTATAGTTCCAAATATGAAGACAATCCAGCGATTAGTTCTTGAGATATCGCGGCAACACCGTTTTCTAACTCCAAAAGCAGATTTGCCTGCTGTGACCTTGACAATGGGGTCAAGGTCACCAAAACCGACTGGTGTCTGCGGTGTCTGTATATACACCATAGTTCCAAATATGAAGACAATCCAGTGTTTAGTTCTTGAGATATCGCGGCAACACTGTTTTCTAACTCCAAAAGCAGATTTGCCTGCTGTGACCTTGACAATGGGGTCAAGGTCACCAAAACCGACAGGTGTCTGCGGTGTCTGTATATACACCATAGTTCCAAATATGAAGACAATCCAGTGATTAGTTCTTGAGATATCGCGGCAACACCGTTTTCCAACTCCAAAAGCAGATTTGCCTGCTGTGACCTTTAAAATGGGATCAAGGTCACCAAAACCGACTGGTGTCTGCGGAGTCTGTATATACACCATAGTTCCAAATATGAAGACAATCCAGTGTTTAGTTCTTGAGATATCGCGGCAACAAACAGGTGGGACGGACGGACGGACGTACGGACGGACGTACGGACGGTCGTGAATACTATATCCCCCGCTTCGCGCTTTCGCGCGGCGGGGGATAATAACAAGCACATTTTAACTCCAAAATTGAGTATATACACAACCTTCACAGTTCAGTAGTGCACATGATTGTTAAAACGAGCAGGTCGACTCACGGTTCTGCCACTAGATGTACAGAACTGACTCACAGGTTTGTGAGCAGCTGACAGACTGGGGTCTTCAATTCCCTGTCCAGCATCGGAGGTTACTGGTTACAGCTGCTTCTAATACTGTACAACTGTCATTGTAATTCTGGTGATCTGCAACAACGTCACTCGAGGTCCTCATCAGGTGACGACGATTTCTTGAGAGTATCTGACCATCTTCTGTCTCAATCTGATTCGATCTTGGAGCATCTTCACGCTTCACAATCACAGGGGCGGTCGGGTAGCCGAGTGGTTAAAGCGTCCACTCGTCATGCCGAAGACCCGATTCGATTCCCGACATGGGTACAATGTGTGCTGCCCATTTCTGGTGTCCCCCACTCACTCACTCACAATCACAGCAGGATGCCTCTCCTATTTTGTTGCACACAAACTGTCTCACCCTGAATGACGAGACAGGTGGCCCAGGCGGACGTGCTGTCTGTGTCTCTATGATAATGTGTGGACATGTTTCGAATTAGTCATCCACGCCCTTTGTGCTTTAAGAGCTTAGAACATGCAGAGGTGTAGATTTAATCACATTAAATTAAAATGAGGACTAAACGTGCTGCAAATACAGATGGCCTGAGGTAAAAGATTAACCTGTTCGTTCATTGAATTGATAGTGGTACACTTTTTGTGTCAATTTTCCTTGTGGGAAAAAAACAATGGATGTTCCTCCACGCTGGGACGACTCTCATTCAATAGACACAAAACGACACAAATCAGGTTCTTTCTAAAACAGTTTAGCAGATTCAATAAGTTATTTACGGTCAGTGAGGCTGTTAGTTTTGAAAAGCTTGTCTTAACCTTTCACAAAGCTATAACCATACATATCTGTTGACGCCTACGTAGTGTCACAACCGCGGTCACAGACCATGAGCGTGACCGCGTGCAGCGATGTAAAGAGATAAACATTATTATCTCTTTATACACACGCCCTGTTTCTCTACAACAGAAGCTGCACTATTGACCTGCTGATTAATTATTATCCCTACGCATAAAGAGGGGAATTATACATGGTCAATTTGTTGGACTGCCGCCAGGAAGTAACTGAGTGATCCTTTGTC